GCTGCGGAGCCACCATTGTTGAGACCACCTGTCATTTCGCATGAGCCTGCGGCCTTGTAGAATAAAGGCAGGCCAGGGATTCTGTCTCCATCCTTAAAAATGTTATATTTACGGACCAAGATTGATTTTATGTATCCCAGAAAGTCTGCGATTCTGCTCAAGGCCATTTGCTGACTAATGTCTCCAGCAGAGAAGAACAACACGCAAGTTCCTGAATTATGGCTGTCTTTCACCTACTCTTATCAAGACTATTTTTTATTTGAAGAACAGTTGCTTTGATTAAAGCCAGTAGAGCCTGGAGCGAATAAAATGTGTCCGAGTTTTACATGTCTCACATTTTATAGCAGGAGCCCAGCTGAAATCTGCCTTTTAATTCTTATACCACAGAGGCAAGTGATGGGTATTAACCGAACAAGTTAAATTAGTTTCTCCTCAACTACCTGGTTTGGGGTTCTAAAAAAAAAAGTCCTGTAGCAACAGACTCAATCGAATCATATTTGTGCTTACTTATATCCTCTACTGTGCTGCATAAATATTTTCTTTTATTTATATACCCACTTTGCTGCAAAAATTATTTTAAAAATGATGTATGTGGAGGGAGTGGGTGGGTCCCAGGTTAAAAGTCAACCTAGAAAGAGCCAAATCAACTCATTTTCATATACACTAAACTAAAAAAGATGGCATGGTAAATATATAAGACAGAAGTGATATTAAATTAGCTAAAATGAATAACAAAAGAGGCCTGGCAAATATTTTCTGTTGGTTTATCAGAAAGCTTCAGGGTCTCTTTTTTCTCCATGTAACCATGGTTGTTTGCATTCTTGAAATGGTCAGTGGTTTTCCAATTTTTTGATGTGAAATCATCAAACCCTTCTATGTTACTGCATTTCAGGGTAACTTAGTACTTGAAAGGTGAGATGCTTTGAGAGTCTGTTTAATCTCGTTGGAACAGTAGAGTAGGTATTTCTTTAAACTCCCAGATTTCTTTGGCCTTGCCCTCACCTGCACTTCCCGGTAAAGCATTTTTCTGTTATTTCTCGTTTTCCAGTCTCCTTTCCCCACCTCCACAGGCAGGTCTCAGTTTCTTTCTGTCAGCTTCCCTTTTGTCCTCCAAACCTGGGCTCTAAAAATCTTCATTCTTGTCAGGCTTTTATTTTTGCCTTTCTCTTCCCTTCCCAGTGTGCCCAAGTCACCCCCTGAGTACTGCCCTGGCGTATCACATGGGTGGGAGCCGTCGCGGGGCGGATGTTATTGTACTGGCTTTATAGAGAGGCATGCACAGGGCCACAGCTGATGACAGGGTTTCTTACAGTGGATAACGGCCTCTGTGTAATTGGTAGCCAGGACACACAACATGTACTTTGTACATATAAGTGCTTCCTGTCTCAACTCTCTCCTGTTGTCTATTAGCACAGATCTGTCCAATATTCTTAGATCAATATATAATATTCCATGGACCCCATTGTGTTAATTTCTAATCACTTACTTATTGAATGGAAGCTCTCAAGCTTGGTTGGGGTATTAGCACACCAGAAACTTTCCTTACCTCTCAGGGGCTAAAGTAGGCTTTTCCATATTCTTTTTTCCAAGCATTATAGAGCACCACTTGACAACCTAAATAGTTCAATGAAGAAATATTAGCTTGAGAATGAAATTGTCACTATAGGCTTTGTATATTCCTATGATGGATTGATATACATTAAGTGGTAAATTATCTTTGATTTGGGATATATAGAGCTATAGATGTGGGTGTACATGACATTCATGTATCTCTAAAAATGTTACTCTATACCTTCTTTGCAGATCGGTTTTAAATCATTGCACAGCATGGCTGCATTTTAATTTCTGATGGAAGAAGCCCATGAAGTTCAGTTGCCTCTAGGCCTGGTTGAGTGATCAGCAAGTCAAATGATTTACTTTGTACTGAACTGGGGCTGGGGGGAGGGAAACCCAGGGAGAACCCAAAAGATCCTTGGTCCTTGCCCTCACATATCCTGGAGGCCTCTGGGGACCCAAGGTATGCGTGGCCCAGCGCATGCTGTTTTGCAAGTCAGTGGGCCGTGCTCTGAAAAGGGCTGAGTGATAGGATAATTAGAACCAAGCAGACAGCGGGGTGGATGGCTTGTCTGCAGATAATAGCTTGTTTGCTAATTGCCAACACCAGATTTTCTGGGCAATTAGACATTTGGTTTCTTCCAGGGCCTTCTGTGCAAATGTGGACACATGGCCGGAGGCCTTCCAGGTAGCAGGTGGAGAGAGGGTGGCTCCCAGGGCGGGACGGCATCTCTCTGGGGGCTGCCCAAGGGCCCACGGGCGGGGCAGACTTCTCGCCCACAGGTGGAAAGGACCCTCTGGCTGGGCCCCCTAGTGGAGAGGCTGAATCCCACCCCACCCCACCCCGCCGCCCCGCTTTTATGGAAGTGGGTGTCCTTGTGCTAGACTAGCAAAGAAGGGGGAGGTAGCAGGCTGGTGGTCCAGGAGCTCCCCTTTCAAGAGCAGAGAGCTTTGGGTGCTTCCCCTCTCAGATATGCAATTTGATTTTTATTAATAAAACGTATTTGTTGTGGTAAAGTAAAAAAAAATACATAATATGTACAATTTGCCATTTTAAGTGTATAAATCAGTGGAATAAATTATAGTCAGTATTGTGCAACCATTACCACTATTTCCAAAACTCTTTTATTGCCCCAAACAGAAACTTTGCACACCTCGCTCCTCCCTCCCCCCAGCCCTTCGTAACCTCTAATCTACTTTCTGTCTCTAGGAATTTGCCTATAATAGATATTTCATATAAGCAGAATTATGTAGTATTCGTCCTTTTGTGTCGAGTTGTTTCAGTTAGCATAATGTGTTCTAGATTCATCCATGTTGTGACATATATGAGAATTTTATTTCTTTTTATAGCTGAACAATATTTTGTTCTATGAATATACTACATTTTGTTTACCCATTCATCTATGATGGGTACTTGGATTTTTTCTACTTTTTGGTTACTGTGAATGACATTCACATACAAGTATCTGTGTGAATCCTCTTTTCTGTTCTTTTCTTTTTTTAAGATTTTATTTATTTATTTTTAGAGAGAGGGGAAGGGAAGGAGAAAAGAAGGGAGAGAAACATCAGTGTGCAAGAGATACACCCATCACAGTTGCCTCCACATGCCCCCAACTGGGGACCTGGCCTGCAACCCAGGTACATGCCCTGACCGGGAATTGATCCAGTGACCCCTTGGTTCCCAGGCCAGTGCTCAGTTCACTGAGCCACGCCAGCCGGGCCTGAGTCCCCATTTTCAGTTCTTTTGGGTAGAGACCTAGGGGTGGAATTGCTGGGTCATACAGTAATTCTGTGTGTGACTTTCTGAGGAACCACTAAGCCCTTCCCCAGTGGCTGTGCCGTGTTGCATTCCCCACCAGATACATGCAAGGGTTCCAATTTGTCCACTTCCAACCTTCGTCATTTCTTTTCCTTTTTTATTATAGCCATCCTAGTGGGTGTAAAGCAGTATCTCATTGTGGTTTCGATTTGCATTTCCCTAATGACTACTGATGTTCATCGTCTTTTCACGTGCTTATCTTCTTCGGAGAAATGTCTATTTTAAAGTCCTTTGCCCAGCAAGTTGATTTTTTGCCTCTGCGCATTTCTCCCCGAGGTTGGAATGGAGCCTCATCGGGAGGGCACCATACGCCTGCAGAGAGGGGAGGGGGCCGTGCAGATCTGAAGCTTCACATTCACTCTCTCATGAGTCATCTCCTTCCCTCAGTCCATTGAGCACCCACTGTCATGATGCTGTCTGAGTTTGTACCAAGCAGGAAAAAAGAATCAGTAAGCGAAGGGGATTAGCCCAGGTGATGGGCGGCAGATGCAGAGGGGGCCACGCCCTGTCTCCTCGAGAAGCGGACCTTTCTCAGATACCTCACACTCTCTGGGTGTCCTTGACCACGAGTTTTGTTTCAGCAAATTACCCATTTTTTCCCTCCCTGCCTGCTAGGTTATGTACTGAATGGAGCAGTATTTGCAGAGCGCCCGGACGGTGCCTGGCATTTGTAGGGGCCCCGGGTCGGGCATCTTCTCCGCAGTGGGAGACCGCAGTTCCCGACCTGCTGCCCTGCAGGCCCTGCCAGGCCTGGGCAGTGGGCAGGCACAGCCGCGTGGAGCCTCCAGCACGGACCAGGGACAGTGCGACTTCTCCTTGGGTGCTCACTCCTGGGGGAGAGCTGCTGGGCTGTGTCAGGGTTTCAGAACAAATGTCCGTGCCTGAACGACAGCAGGAACAGCGGGCGGGCGGCACAGTGATGTTCATGCCACTTAGCTGTTGGCCCTTCTCTGGTTTGATCTTGAATCTGTTGAGGGACCCCATCTTTGGGGTCCAGAAAGGCTAGTCTACTGTCTTTGTGCTGTGGGTCTTCTTACAGTATCACTGGAGAGAGATGAGATCTCTTCCTGGCGGGGCCTCATGCCAGAGAGAGGGAGGACGCGGTGCCTCCGCTAGGCAAGGACATTCCTGCTGGAAGGTGCACTCATGTCCTATGTTCTCATGATAGGGGTTGTTAATTTTGGGGGGTGGAGTCCCACAATCCTCTGGGAACCTGAGGGCTGTGGCTACTCTTCCAAGAAAATGAACATAAAAGTTTGCACATCCTCTCCAGGGGTTGTGGTGCCTCTGATCCATGATGGAGGCTGGGTTAAGAGCGGGCAGGAGCCAGAAGGAGAGGCGATTTGGGGATCGGGCAGCATTTCTGCCAAGCGGGAGTTGGGTGGCACAGAGTGAGAGGTCTGCTGGTCGCTGGGAGGGAAAAAAATGTCTTCGATCACGTTTTCAATACTAAACGCAAGGGGGTGCCGACAGCCTCCCTTTGTCACTGGGGTCAGCTTTGCCTGCCATCTCAGCCGGCTTTGCAGAGGCAACCATGCCCGTAGGGGCAAAGCTTCCCAGCCCTCGCTCCCGCTCCGGGCGAGCCCCTACCTCCTCTAAGGAGCACACCTTGTCTTTCTTTTTCCAGAAACGGCCCCCACGTCTGCATATTCATCTCCAGCCCGGAGTCTTGGGGACACAGGAATCACGCCTCTGTCCCCTTCCCATATCGTGGTAAGAGATGTGTACCTATGTGTGCTGATATCCTTGGCTTTCTGGGTCTCTTCTCATGAGGCTACTGAGCCGCCCCTCATGTTCATGGGCGGAGACACAATGGTCCTGGCACCAGCCTTGTGAGCCGCCCCCAGTCCCTTTTCCACTGGGGGCCTGGAGTGGCTGGTGCTTCTGGGGCCATTGGCCCGGGTGAGCCGCAGGAGCAGGCGAGGGGAGCAGCCTTTGAAGATGCGGGGCTTGCAGAGTGCGAGACACCTCCTTGGGAGGAAGCGGCCACATCTGGTTGGCGAGTCAGTGAGAGCCACGTCCGAAAGCCTGCGGCCGTGTGATCACTTCTGAGACAGCCGGCCCGGGAGAGGGGGCCTGTGCAGGCTTGCAGTGGGGGGGCGGGTGGGGGGAGCTGGGGACTGGGCTGTGGCTCCCACCCTACCCTGTCCTGAACGGGTGGGTGCTATGGGCGGCCATGCAAGGGACTCACATGTAGCCAACCAGAGAAACGTACCAGAAGGAAAGAGCGGCTTCGTACCGCTGCTCAGATCCAAAGAGCCCCTCTGAGAAGGATGTGGAAGCCACCCCTAGGGAGGGGCACCAGCTCATCCTGGTTTTCCCAGACCTGTCTGGTTTGGCATGGAACGTCTTGCATCTTCAGTCCTGGGGAGACTGAGAGGCTTGGTCTCCTACGGCCAGGCCCAGTGCACCCTGAACATTCTGTCAGAGCTTCTGGGTCACCTTGGGTGTATGGCAATGGGGGGCACAGTGAGGCGAGGCCAGGATGGGGGAGGCTCTCACCGCCCACCCTGGCTCTAGCCAGTACACTCGAAATCCAAAATTGATTGCTTTGATCATTTTTAGTTCTATAACTGTTAAAACAAAAAGTCTATAAAGTGCTTTTAAAAAACAGGTTGGAAACCTTGGAATGGTCTTACCCACATGCTTGACAGATGAAGAACGGCTCAGGGTCCTGATGGGACAGGACTCACCAGAGTCGTGTGTGGTTACGACGGGGCCAGCCAGGGTCCCTGGTCGGTGGAGCCCTACTCCCAGGCAGAAACCACCCGAGCTGGCGGAGCGGTCACCTGGGAGGTGCCCAGGGCACAGCCAGTCAAGCCCTCCAGCCAGTGGCAGGACGTCTGCATGGGAACTTGGCGGGGACAGTGGGAGGGAGATCACGTCACTCAGGGAACCCCCGGGCTCCCGGCCCTGACAGTGGAGTTTCTGTCACGGCCGCGCTCACGCACGGTTGACAGCGGAAGTGGTGGCAAGCTACAGGCAGGTGCGCTTGCCCAGTGGGCCTGGCCCTTCCCCGAGGGGCGCCTCCCAGCGCTGAGGCCGACCAGCCTTCTCCCCAGGGCTTGAGCCAGAATGCGGGCTGTCCTCTGCGGCGGGTGTACCGCTGGGTCGGGGGGACCGCCTGGGGTGTCGTCCTGAAGGCCAGGTGTGGGCCCCCACCCACCCGATCTTGCTCGTTGTATCTGCAGAACGATGCCGACTCGAATGTCTCGGAGCAGCAGACGTTTCTCGTGGTGGTGGCCATTGACTTTGGGACCACATCTAGCGGCTACGCCTACAGCTTCACCAAGGAGCCAGAGTGCATCCATGTGATGAGGCGAGTGCTAAGGATGGCGAGGGGCCTGTGCTGGCGCCAGCCGCTGCACCTAGGAGACTTGGGGGGCCGGGGGAGGGGAGAGGGATTCGTTCAACAGCCAGGTGAACGGTACTTAGTAGGCAGGTCCCGGATTCTGGCCCAACTCAGCCCAGACTCACCGTGCCCCTTGGGGCTAGCCACTTTGGATCTTTGGCCTCCAAATTCATGGTCTCTAGAAGTGTTGGTTTCATTCTGACGTAGTGGGCCTGGGGAGGAGCATGCGTGGCATGTCTGAAACCTGCCCCGGGTGAGTTCAGCGTGCAGCCCGGACGAGAGGCGCCCCCCTGCAGGGTGTCAGTGAGGGACCCTTACTGTGTGACCTTGGACAATTGCTAACCCTTCTAAACCTCAGTTTCCTCATCTGTAAAATGGGGACAATGCCAACACTGGCCTTGCAGGGTGCACATGCAGAGCGCAAACAAAATGAGATTTCCTGTCAAGTGCTCAGCATGGAGTAGATATAAGCCGGGACGGTGCCAGTTCTTCCACGTGAAGAAAAGTCATGGGACGGCAGTGACCAGAGCAGAGAGCATCATGCCTGAGAAAGAGCCGGTGAACCTGGCAGGTCCCCCCGAGGTAGCCCTGGGTCTCCTGAGGTGCGCTTTGTGCTAGGGACGCTCCCTGCCGGCACCCCGTGCACACGGCAGCCCAGCAAGCGCTCACAGCCACCCTGTGCGCACGTGACCCGCGGTCTGTGAAGACTCTGGTCTGCCCAGCACCAGCGCCGGCTCCCCGCGCTGGCCGTGGCTTTCCTGCAGGGTCTCTGGCCCCTCCAAGCTTTGGGAGCCACAGATTTATCACCCCAGGTTTCCAAATCTAAGAATGGCTCTGAAGATACATTGTGATCGGCAATTCCTTTAACTGGTAATTACGCAGTTGAGTTATCACTCCCAGGATAAGATGTTAGGCATTTTTAAAAAGTGCTGTTTAAAGCACAAGTCATCATAAAACTAATCCCCACCCAATCTTGGTCGAGGCCCTGCCTTTCCCCCAGAAAACCAGACGCGACTCACCTGAGGTCCGCATGCGAAGAGGCTCGAGACCCGGGGTGTCGTCTCCTCAGGAAATGCGGAAAGGCTGGGTCTAGTAGATGCCCCGAGACAGCACAGCCTTCCTGGGCTGAACCAGGAAGCGGCCTCCAGCTGCGCCGATGTCCTGAGGGTCTGTCTGCCCTGTCACCCGTGGAGACGGAGCCCTGGGCGGAAAAGAGCACGCTGTTATTAAAAGCTAGAGTCAGTTTTTATCAGGGTCTCCGTAGTCATTTTAAAAAATGTTATTTCCAAGAGATAGTCATGCAAGGAACATTGCGGCGCGGGGCGGGGTGGGGAGGAAAGCGCAGAAGTAACTTTGAACTTGCTTGGCAGGGACCCTCACAAAACACCGGCAGCGTTCAGGGCCTCGGAGACGTCATCTCAATTGTAGAGATTTTGGAAGGAGGTTCTACCTGGATTTTACTTCTGTCAGAACACATGAACATAACCATGGTACACACCGACAAAGTTATAAATGAGAACGTTTATTTCTTTGTATTTTAATAGGAACAAAGGAATACAAAATTGAAGGGAAAAACACAGGAGGTCATTACTCACATACATCAGCGTTAGCCGTGCTGGACAGTGCATTTGTGAAGGGCTGTGTCAGGGTCCCCTGGCCCGGTTGCCCGGTGTCTGCCCGGGATGGGATGTTTCAGCGGGGTCACTGCGGGACTTAGCGCCCTGGGTTGAAGCCTGCACCTGATGGAACTTGACTGGGAAACCGGCCAAGGATGATTCTAGACCCTTCCGGGCAGCAGATCCAGGTGGAGGCTGGCTCTCCGCCGGGACAGTGATGGCCAGGGCTCCTGGTTTCTGCAAAGGGCACGTTCTCCTCTGGGCGCGCCAGCGTGCAGCCTCGGGGATACCCTGGCTCCAGCTCACTGCTGGGTCCATCCGGCCTGCTTCCCCCTCTGGACAGTTCGCTCCCCGCCCCCACTTCCTTGGCTTTCTGCCCTTGTTCGGGCTCTCTCACCTCTGCCCCCAGATGAGGCCTGAGCCGCCGCCTCAGCATCCTAGCTTCCCATCCCCTCCCTGTAGTCTGGCTTGCTCTGGTCAGTAGCAGCTCTGATTTATCCTGCCCCTGCTCTAAAGCCTGTAGTGGCTCCCCATTACTCCCTGAGTAAATCCCTCACTCCACAGGGTCCCTTCAGCCCAGTTCCCACCACCTTCCCAAACTCGTTTCTCACACACAGGCTTCTCGTTTGCAACTCTCGTTCTTTAACCCGCATGCTCATGCCCCGTGCGCGCCCACCTCCGAGCCGCCTGTGGTGCCCTTGCCCCTTCAAACCAGTTGTCTGTCACCCCCTCAAGCCTCTGCTGAGCCCTGCTCTCTTCCCCCTGCCCCACCAGCTGGCACCTCTGCCTTCTCCGACCCTGGGGCATTTTCCTGGAATTTCCAAGGAAGCTGCTATAACCTCTGCCTTCCCTTGGTGACAGGCGATGGGAAGGAGGTGACCCTGGGGTGTCCAACCAGAAGACCCCGACCACCATCTTGCTGACTCCCGAGAGGAAGTTCCACAGCTTCGGGTACGCCGCCAGGGACTTTTACCACGACCTGGATCCCAACGAGGCCAAGCAGTGGCTGTACCTGGAGAGGTTCAAGATGAAGCTGCATACCACTGGGGTACGTGGGCCTCTCCCCGTCCCACAGGGCCTCTGCATTGGAGAGCCAGGGTCCCTCCAGTCTTGGGAGAGGGGGTCTTTCCAACCTAGGGACCCTCGGGTTTCTCCCAAGCAGAAATTCATGTCCATTTAGCTGAGTTTAGAAATAACCCGGAGCACCCAACACTTCCGTGGACAACACAGCCCCTTCTGATGTACACCTGGGCAGGGGGATGTTCAGCGTATTTAATGACTTGTTTGCCTTGGAAACTGACCAGTCACCGTGGATGCTGGCTGGAGCATAGGCCTGGGACCTGTGGATCCCGTGCCAGGAGACCCCCTTCAGTTGCTGGACTAGTGGGAGATCAGGGAACCCTGAAGGAGCGACCAGAGGATGGGGGCATTTGGGGGGATAAGGGCAGTGGCCGCTAACGAACCAGTTCGGAAGTGATGACTGGCCCATGAAGCCCCTGCTTGGGGCAGGGGGAAGCCCTGGAAATCAAGTGCAATAGTTGGAGGCCCTACTTCCCCAACAGATCTGCTCCCAACACGCCCGAGCTCTGTGAGATGGCGGGGGCAGCTAGGGCTTCTCCTTCAAGCATCTCAGAAACTTTCCTGAATTTTCAGTACTTAGAGATTCAGGGTGGTGATGGTGATTAAGACGGAGACTCTCACCAGCCACTTACTTAATCCAAGTCCCTCACCTCTCCGTGCTTTGTTTTATCTTGTCTGTGAAATGGAGATACTGACAGCGCCTTCTTCATGGGGGTTTTGTAAGGACAGAAGGAATCAGAATGCACGGAGCTCTAGAACCCCGTTACTACTTCCTAAGCTCTGGTCGATTGCTAGCTCCTGTTACCATTGCTTTCATGTGTCAACGTTATGTGTGCGCAGACAACAAAACAAAGGTTAGTGGGAAACCCAGCAACCAGCACCCTACTTTCCAGGGTCCCTGTGCTCGTGGCGTGGTTGTCTCTCTGTGAAGCAGACTGGCTTCTGCTAGAAAGGCACCCTTCACATTTCACCCGATGGGACTTAGTGCTGAATTTCAGCTTGCGCCGGTGGATGCACAGGAATTTTTTCCATTTGAATTTTTAAAATTCCAAGCCTGCGGCTTCCTGGTGCTCAGCCATGTTTCTGAGCCTGGGAGCTGCCGCCTTAAAGCTGGGGTGTCTTTGCTCAGCATCAGGGGTAGGAAGTGGCTGGCTGGGAGGAGGGATCTTGTGCAGATCAGTCAGGATGACTGACAGACCTCAGAGGGCTGCTTTAGCGGCTTGACACCCCTTCACACTTCAAAGACAAAGCCTAATAACCCAGCCGGGACCAATCTGGAGGCCTTACTGATTTTTTTTCCTTGGCGGTAATGAGCCTGTTGGCTCTGGAATGCTTGGGGGCTTTCCCTGCCCACCCCCACTCCGCGGGGATGTTTCTTGTCATTTTTCACTGGCCTCGGCCCGTGCAGCATTTCACAGAGCATCCTCTGCCCAAGGACTGCACTCGGGCTCTGGCGGAGGAAGCGGGCAGTGATGCTGGTCTCCCAGCCGATCAGGCAGCAAAAACCTTAAAATAGGAGCTCTTCTATTTTGGTGACTTGGCTGGCAGCTCACTGGGGGAACGAAAGCTTCCTGTCTGTTCGACACCATGCATGTTAGTGAATTGGCGTGATTATGTAGGCCCCCGTTGGGGGGCTCCTGAAGGTGACCCTGTGTGACCATGAGGAGAAATAGTATGTAAATTGCACTGGCAGTGGTTTCTGCTGCTTTTTTCAGTTTCTGGACTCTGTCACTGCCCTGAAACCTCACTCCCAGAGGATGCAGGCGAGAGAGAGAGAGAGAGAGAGAGAGAGAGAGAGAGAGAGAAGGAAGGAAGGAAGGAGAAGTGGAGGTGGGGCCAAGGGGAAAGCCAGGGCCTCCTGCCCAGTACAAGGCATATGCCCCCAGGCCTGTTTTGGGGGGATGCACCTTCTGAGTCTGCCCCTCAAACAGTGGGAAACACAAGTACGGCTCACCAGCTTCCCCGGAACTCTATGTAGCCATTTTCAAAGCTAGAAAGCTGTCTCTCCTTTGCCTTACGGTTTTATTCCTCTCTTCCTGGCAGGACCTCACCTTGGATACAGACCTGACAGCAGCAAATGGCAAGAAAATCAAAGCCCTAGAAATCTTTGCTTACGCCCTGCAGTACTTCAAGGAGCAGGCGCTGAAGGTGGGACACGTGGCAGTGCCAGTGTAGGGGGTGCACTTGCCACCCAGGGCACCAGGAGGGAGGGAGGGAGGGTGGGCTGTGCATTCAGAAAGCAGGATGCCCCTCCTGACTGCTGGGGGCGGGGAGGGAAGATGGTGCAGCCGCCGTGGAACACAGTCTGGCGGGCCCTCCGCAGCTTACACACAGTTATCATAGGAGCCAGCAATTCCATTCCCTGGTGTATGCCCGAGAGAAATGAAAACGCTTATTCATGCAGACACTTGTACACGAATGTTTATAGCAACACTATTCGTAGTAACTAAAAAGTGGAAACAACTCACATGTCTGTCAGTGGAGGAATGGGTAACTAAGTGGTGTGTATCCGCACTGTGGAATATTATTCACCCATAAAAAAGAATGGAGTACTGAGTATGCTACAGCACGGATGAACCTTGAAGTCACTGTGCTAAGTGAAAGAAGCCAGACACAGAGGCTCATGTATTATATGATCCATTTATACCCACTGTCCAGAATAAGCAGCCCCATGGAGACACACAGTTAGATTAGTGGTTGCCAGGGGCTGGGGAGGGTGGGAATGGGGAGTGGCTGCGAAAGGGTATGGGTGATGAGATTAGATAGTGGTGACAGGTGTACAAACCTTGTGAATATTCTAAAGCCCACTGAGCTGTGTACTTTAAAAGGGTGAATTTATACGGTATGTGACACATATCAGTAAAAAAACAAAACGAAAGGCAGGAGACACATGTAGCACCTGCGTGATCTCAGATGAGGCACTCGGCCTCTCCAGTACGCATGTTCCTTACCTGAAGGGGGAGGCAGGTCACTACCCCAGGGGTCATTGGATAGTAAATGAGATAATAGACATGAAGTGCCTTCCTCGGGGCCAGCCCAGAGTAAACACTTGGTAAATGATTGCTGCTCTTCCTCCTCCTCCTCCTCCTCCTCCTCCTCCTCCTCCTCCTCCTCCTCCTCCTCCTCCTCCTCCTCCTCCTCCTCCACTCCCCACTGCCACCCCAGAACCATGGAAGAAGCTGACTCTGTGAGTAGTCCCCTGGGATCGCCCTTGCAAAGATGTGTGCAGTGCGGGCCCAGAATGCGGAAAGCAGCTAATTTCTAAGTGGAATATAGCTGCCCACTCAGTGTGCCCTCCTGTGGGCATGGCGCTGAGTGGGTGCAAATCAAGTGATTAAAGAGCCTCGTGTATTGAGCTTTATGCAAAAACAATTGGAAACTTCAGAAGCATTTGGAATTATGTGATCACTAGAAGAAATTTAGTGAATTCTAAAAATAGAATGGAATAGACTAGGGTGGAATAGACTAGAATAGAGTAGAATAGAATAGAGGGTGGAATTCTAGAAATAGGGCTAGAGGGAGACAAGTAAGAACATAATACAACTTTCATTTATTGAAGTCCTTTTTTTTGGTACTTTTGATGTGCCACCTCCTGCCCAGGTTATGGCAGTATAGAAATGAACACAGTATGAAGGAGCATACAGTAAATTGTCAGTGGGTCAGTGTTGTGAGGGGTAACTGAGTTTTCAGTGTGAGGAGCAGCAGGGCAGGCTCCCTGGAGGAGGTGGGTCGGGGGCCTCTCTCAGGCACAGCTGGAAGGATGGATGTTTCAGGCTGGTAGAAGAGCACAAAAACAGTTCAGGGGAAAGAACATGCAGCAAACAGCCGCGGGAAGCAGGTAGTTTGGGGTTGAAGAAGGGCAGGGTTGGGAATAGAACGGGGCTGTGAGTGAGCTCGGGACGAGATTGTGCAGGGCCTCGAATGCCGAGCCGAGGGACTTCTTGGTGGTGGGGAGCCGGCAAAGGCTTTCTAGCCAGGGGATGGACGCCTCGGCCACCGCCGGGGGGAGTGTTAGAGGGGCGCCACAGGGGTCCCGGGGCCCGCTGGGTGGTGGACAGCCAGGGGGAGACGGCTGACTCAGACCCCGCAGCAGGTTAGTCTGAGGGCTGAGGGCGAGGCCCCGAGACTCGGAGGACCGCGGGAGAAGGTGAAAATGAAGAAGAGCGAGCGGATGGGATGAAGTGGGTCTTGAGAAAAAATTCTGCAAGAAAGGGAGAGGGGAGAGACAGAGAGGAAGGACGTGGGAGGGAGACAGGAAGGCAGGGGTGTGGTGAGGCGCTGGGACCAGGAGAAGGGAGAGTGCTGTCGTTCCTGGGGACAGCAGGGCAGACAAGGAGGCGCACCGAGAGGGGGACCTCTGTCAGCCTGGAGGGCACGGATCCCAGAGGGAAGGCTCAGCGCCCAGGGGCCCAGGCGGCCACGTGGGGGCCTGCCTGCCCGACCACGTGTGACAAATCTGAGAAAGTTGAAGGACCAGAGGGAGGCAGAGCACTCGGGGACCCCGGATTTGGAGGAGGAGCCACAGGGAAACTTTAGGGCTTGAGAAAATCTGTGACACTGGGCCAAGTTGGCCAAGAAGAAAGGAATGAACAGCTCATCTCAGAAGGGAGGAGGCAGAAGGTCAAGCAGGGCCTGGTGGTGGGTGGTTGCGAACGGACTTGTCAGCTCAGCCTCTGGCTCAGGAACTGGCTAGCACCTTCTCCCCGCGGGCGACACGTGACCATGAGGAAGAGCTGTTTGCGGAGATTTACAGGAGCTGGGCCCTCCACGAGGGGGCCGGCTGGTGTTTGAGGGACAAGGGGATCCAGAGGGACTGTTGCATGTTGGACCAGAATAAGCTAAAGTAGATCTCAGAAATCCCATGCTTGACACAGCCTCTTTCAGGAAGGAAGGCAAGTGGAAGTGCCTGACAATGAGACGTTCAATTAACGTCAGGTTCCTTTCTCTCCGAGCTGTGCTCCATCCGCTGGTGAGCAGCTTTTCCGAACAGCTTTCCCTCTCCAGGGAAGGCCGTCACTCAGGGTTTGAGCCTCTTGCTGTTTAGTGTCAGAAACAGTCTGCATGGTAATAGGTGGCTTAGACGCCTTCTCAGCACACGCCACACGCTCACCTGCTTTTGAAGGCCAAGACAGATCTGTAAGGAAATAGCACATGGTAAAAAATAAGGTAGAGCAGAAACAAAAACAAAAAACTGGCTGCTCCACATTGACCCAAAGCAGAGATGTGTTTAAAAAATGTTTAAAAAAAAAGTTTGCTGAATATACATAACACTACCAACTGCACACTTAAAAATAGTAAATTTTATATGTATTTTATCGCAATTAAAAATGAAAAGAAAAATTTAAAGGCAGGGAAAAATAAAGTTTACTGATTAAAGAGGAAGTGAGTTCAGAGAGAGGGTGGGTCAGTCCAGAGATAACTATTTGAAACAATACGGAAAATGTGACATCCGTCAGGGAGAAAAAAAATCAGCAGCCTGTTCGTCTGAACCTTGTCCCCAGAGCCACTCTGAGGCAGAGGTGCATTAGCAGGTGTTTAGGTTTATTTTCAGGCTTGTCTGGTGACTGGCAACAGGAGGGGAGGGGAAAGGAAGGAGCCAGCATTTACGAGAGGTCTTCTCTGAGCCCGACGTTCCCCGTGTGTTCTCATTTAATTTTGCCGCCAACGCCGTGGGTTTGTTTTACTCTCCCCATTTTACAGATGGAAATACCAAGTCAGAACTATGCTAGAGACATATTTTGTCTACGTGGACCTGGTAGAAACCTCCAAGGCCCCTGCTCATCCCATTTATCCACAGGGTTTAACCTTAACTCGAAGTTAAGAACAGCCTGGTTTTTGCTTACGTCATGTCATTCCTATCCTTCCTGTCCTGCCAGGAAAACTCCCCTGATGTGTTGGGCTTGAGGGGGCGTAGATGATAGTGACAACTCTGACAAGTGCCACCAGTTGTTAAGCGTTATTGTGGGCCAGACACTGTTCTAGATATGAGACTACGTGTCCCAGTTGAGTTAAGATGTTGGCTTTTGGAGCCAGCGTCAGAGTCTGGGTCTGAGTCCAGATTTTGGCTCTGCCACTTTCTGGCTGTGTAATCATCAACAAGATAATCTACCGAGGGCTTAGTTTGCCCTCTGTAGAAAAGGAGCCCAGTTATAGTCCCTTCAAACAGGATCTTGGCTGGATTAATGGAGATGAGGTATGTGAAGTACTTAAGGTTGACAGAGAGTACACGCTGATTAAATAGCACTCTCAGGAAACTATCCATCCCTGTAACAACCATATAATTGTTACAGGGTTGTACAGATAAGGAGACTGAGGCCAAGGTTGTCACTTGCCCTCAGTCACATGGCTAGCACAGGGCCAGAAGCCTCTGATCGGCCAGCCTCTTGCCTGCAGTCACATTCAATGAGTGAAGGAGCTGGGGGCTCCCCGTTCGCTGAATAAGCAGCAAACAGACCCTTGCTCCCTGACGCTGATAAATTCTGGAGGCTGTGGAAGTTGAGTTCCTAGCCAGGAAGTCTGGATTCTCAGTGAAGCCGCAGGAAGACCAGCAATGTCCATTTGACCTGCGGCACTTTGCTTGGCTTTAGGAGCTGAGCGACCAGGCGGGTTCGGAGTTCGAGAACTCTGATGTCAGATGGGTCATCACGGTGCCTGCCATCTGGAAGCAGCCGGCCAAGCAGTTCATGAGACAGGCGGCCTACCAGGTGAGCCTGCGGGCAGAGCAGACGGGGCCCCAGGGTGCCCACAGCGGTGACTGTCACCCACTCAGGTGTCCTCCAGCGGGCACAGGCTTCCTCGAGAAGCAGCTAGGGGCTCCCATAGGCAGGGGTCCAGGAGCCTTCCCATGCCTCAGCTTCCTCCTGGGGGAGGAGTGGGGTGCAGACTGACTGGGGGGAGGCGCTGGGCTCCGTTTTCTTTCTGGCTTTATGCATTTCCAGGTCTTGTTGCCACTGTAGAGTCCCTGGGGCTAGGATTTCAAACGGGGGTTCAGACACATTTCTTCATGGGTGAGTGCAATTGAGAATTCCAAGTAAAAGGCTTGGAAAACAAGCATATTTAAATAAGGAAGGACTCAAGACAAGGCCCTTGGAATGAACCAGGGAGATCAGCTCGGTTCTGAGGCTGAAAGCTGTACATACACAGCCGGGAAATAAAAGAAATCTGATTTTCCTCTGCCCGTTTCACCCGTGAATGCACAGGAGCACGTGGGCTGTCACAGCTGTCTGGTGACAGACCCCAGGATGAGGGCAGCGGCACGGTAAGGAGTGTGCAGCCAACACAGTGCCATGAAGACCGAGCATTCCAGGGCCGATGGGTGGCCCATCCTTGTGGGCACCTGGGCTCCTCAGACCCTCACGGCCTCCAGCCTGCACGCTCTTTGCAGACAACCTGTGCCACGACAGGGTTTCCATGAGGGTCTGACCTCCTGGCAAGAACGGCTGGTTGCACTGACCTGCTGCTCAGATTTTAGGTCAGAGCTGGCCCCTGTGCACTTACTTAATTCCTTGGGCTAATGAAAGCCCACCCTGGGGCCTGGGTCAACTCCCTGTGTCCCGAAAATCAGTGTTCTGAGCCATCGGCCTGAGCCAGGCTGGGGAAAAGTCACCAAGGTAATAGATGTCCTCTTGCGCACCGCCACGCCTCTCAGGAGACAGCCACCTTTCCCAGGGGGCATACCTCTGACGTTGAGTTTGTGGCCACGTATGCGAACCTTTCAAAATGCCCACCGAGTCCGCCCTGAGTGCAGGAATGCAGTGCAGTGGGCACCTCGGTGTCATGAATCGCACTGAACGCTTGGGGCTTTACCACAGGCGGCAGGTGGAGTTCCAGGAAGGGGCAGGGTCCCCTCCTTCCCAGCCCCTGTCTTCCTGTCCCTGCCCTAGGCCTCCTCCTCCGCTCTCGCCTTCCTCTCCTCAACGTGAGAATCCAGCTTGGTCCCTGTCACTGCCAAAAATAGATTTGTTTTCATAGGGATGAAGGAAGAGGGTGGAAGTTCCAAAGAGAGGCAACTTCTTTAAAAAGAAAAAAACACAGATGCACTTCAGCTGTCCACAGAAGCCACGGTCTCCTGGACCTTTTCCGTGGTCGCGGCCCTCAAGCGGTGTCCGAAGACAGGACCCCGGGAACGACAGTCTGAGAAGACATGGCCCAGTGTCTTGAGTTTTTCCCAGGAAGGATAGTCAAGATTCATGGTTTTGACTCTCGTTTTCCAGCCCACAGGAAGACTTCAGCAACAAATGTGTGACCCGGAAAAGGGTCAGTTCTTATTTTTAGCTTGAAAAAGAAAGCGATGCAGCGACCGGTAGCCGTGTCAGGGCTGTTGAAGCTCTGGGCCGGCTCTTCCAAGGACAGCATCTCTGAAAAGGTGGGGGTGGGGGGTGGGAACGGAGCAGGGAGAGGCCCCCTAACACGGGGGCAGCTGAGGAGGAAGGAAACTGTCAGAGGGCGTGGCTTCCTCTGGGGTCTGGGCGAATCAAATGGCACCTCAGAGGGAAGAAGGGCCAGCGGGGCAGATGGGGTGAACATCGGTGGATGTAGGGAACTGGCTTTCTGAAGCCCAGAGGTACTGTGCAAACAGGCTGTCGTCTCACTGCTGGGTATTGTTTGTTTGGTACCATGATTGTGCAGCTTAACTTTTAACCCTTTGTAGTTCTGATTGGCTAACTTGTGTTCCATTTACAGTCACTGAATGGATTTCAAGATGGCAGGGACCATTCAATCACTGTTGGCTCATGCATTCATTTATTCATTAAACGAAGCTACGCTCGGGCTGTTCTGTGCGCCAGGACCGGTGTAGGCACCGGATTCATATCCTGTGCAACAGAGACTGTTCTCAAGATGCGTGCCGCTGAGTGGTTCATTGAAGCCTGTCATACTTATGAGAGGGCGCAGAGGGCATGTCAGGGGCACAGTTGCTTTGTTGACTTCCCTCTGGTCTCATCAGCCTGTTTTCTTGAAGAGTCCCCATGACAGAATGGAAATGAAGCTTGCTATTCTGTGACCAAAATGAGCATCCCTCCAACTCTCTCCTCACCCCCATGTATTATATAGAGCAAGAAAGATGCATAGCTGCGATGGTTAATTTTATGTGTAAACCTGACTGAGTTGAGGAGTACTCAGATACTTGGTCAAACATCATTCTGAGTGTTGGCGTGAGGGTGTTTTGGGACGAGATGAACATTTATTTTATTTTATTTTTTAAATAGATAGATAGATAGATAGATAGATAGATTATGTTATTACAGTTGTCCCATTTTTTTCTCCCCTTTATTCCCCTCTGCCCTGCACCTCCCCATCCACCAGCATTCTCACCACCCCGCCCCCCTAGTTCATGTCCATGGATCATACACGTAAGTTCTTTGGCTTCTCCATCTCCTATACTATTCTTAACCTCCTCCTCTCTGTTTCTTACCTATTTATGCTTCTTATTCCCTGTACCTTTTTCCCCATTTGCCCCCCTCCCTCTCTCTTCTGATCTCCATTTCTGTGATTTTGTTCCTGTTCTAGTTGTTTGCTTAGTTTGTTTTTGTTTTTGTTTAGGTTCAGTTGTCGATCGTTGTGAGTTTGTTATTTTACTGTTACAGTTTTTGATCTTCTTCTTTTTCCTTTAACATTTCACGTAATAAGGGCTTGGTGATGATGAACTCCTTTAACTTTACCTTATCTGGGAAGCACCTTATCTGCCCTTCCATTCTAAACGATAGCTTTGTTGGGTAGAGTAATATTAGATGTAGGTCCTTATCTTTCATGACTTTGAATACTTCTTTCCAGCTGCTTCTTGCCTGCAAGGTTTCTTCTGAGAAATCAGCTGAGAGTCTTAGGGGAACTCCTTTGTAGGTAACTGTCTCCTTTTCTCTTGCTGCTTTTAAGATTCTCTCCTTATCTTTAATCTTGGGTAATTAATTATGATGTGCCTTGGTGTGTGCTTCCTCAGGTCCAACTTCTTTGGTCCTCTCTGAGCTTCCTGAACATCCTGGAAGTCTATTTCCTTTGCCAGATTGGGGAAGTTCTCTTTCATTATTTTTTCAAATATGTTTTCAGTTTCTTGCTCTTTCTCATCATCTGGCACCCCTATGATTTGGATGTTGGAACACTTAAAGTTGTCCCAGAAGTTCCTGAGCCTCTCCTCATTTTTTTGAATTCTTGTTTCTTCATTCTGTTCTGGTTGGATGTTTATCTCTTCCTTCTGCTCCAAATCATTGATTTGAGTCCCCGTTTCCTTCCCTTTACTGTTGGTTCCCTGTATATTTCTCTTTATTTCACTTTGCACAGCCTTCACGATTTCCTCCATTTCGTGACCATACTCAACCATTTCTGTGAGCATCCTGATTACCAGTGTTTTGAACTGTGCATCTGATAGGTTGGCTATATGTTCATTGCTTAGTTCTATTTTTGGAGCTTTGATTTGTTCTTTCATTTGGGCCATATTTCTTTGTCTCAGCGTGCCTTGGGAATTGGTGGAAGGGGCGGAGCCTTAGGTATTCACCAGGGCGAGGCAACCCAGGTCGCTGCGTTGTGACGCTATATGTGGGGGAGGGGTCAGAGGGAACAATGCTGCTTTGCTCGGCTCTTCACCAGCTTTCAGGCCCTTCCTCACTACCCACAAGCCAATTGGGCCTTTCTGGTGCTGATTCCTGCATGGGTGAGTTTGTGTACGTTCTAGGACCCTATGGGTCCCTCCAATGGACTCTCCTGCGAGGCTAGGAGTTTCTCCTGCCACCATATCCTCCACAGGTTTTTACCTCCAGGGGTTTTGAGGCTTCCTTTTCCCGCACTGAGACCCTGGATTGCGCGGTCTATCTTGCTCCCCAGCTGGCCCTCCCGGTTTCTCCGCACGCAAATGTGGAACTGCCTGGTCCTCCAGCCGCTGCCTTGCTGCACGTCCTCTCCACCCCGGCTGCCCATCTCCGCCCCTCCTACTGGTCTGGGTGAATGGTTCTTCTTTAACTCCTTGGTTGTTGGACTTCCATACAGTTGGATTTTCTGGCAGTTCTGGCTATTTTTTTGTTTTTAAATGTGTTGTCCTTCTTTTGGTTGTGCAAGGAGGCAAAGTGTATCTACCTACGCCTCCATCTTGGCTGGTAGTCGAAATGAACATTTAAATCAACTGCCTAAATAAAGCAGATTGTTCTCCCTAAGGTGGGTGGGCCTCAGCCAGTCAGTCGAGGGCCTGAAGAGAAAAGGCTGAACCTCCCTGGAATGAGTTGGAATTCCTCCTGCCTGTGTGCCTTCCAGCTGAGGCCTTGGTGGTTTTGTTTTTTGTCTTTTGGCTTGAACTGAAACATCTGCTTTTCCTGGGTCTTGAACCTGCTGGCAAGTTCATTATGGGCTCTCCTGGTCCTCCAGCTTGCTGACTGCAGATCTCCGACTTGTCAGCCTTTATAATCATGTGAGCGAATTCCTCCTCATACATCTCTCTCTATACATATATATATCCTACTAGTTCAGTTTCTCTGGAGAAGTCCAATACTGAACCTGAGCAAAAAACAATTCTTGGCCCACCCAGCTTCTGAGATCCAACAGTGCCCATCAACTCTCCCGCTCAAAGTGCTACCCATCAGCCTGGCTTCAGGGAGAAGAGCCGGAAGGAGGGGGTAGGATGGTCAGGGAAACTGGCCGTGTCCAACGTGCCTGCATGTGAAAACGGAGCCCCTTCTTCTGGGCCCGTGGAAGGTTCCCAGATCCAAAGTACATGGCACAGTCCTGTGGTTCTCCTGAGCCTCTCCTGCCACCAGCCTGGTGGAGGAGGAAGAGGCCTGGCTGCGGAGCAGGAGATGACACCCTGGGCAGCGTCACCCACGGGAGAAGCAGGCCTGGAGCGGACAGTTCTGGGGCTTGGCCCAGAGGCCTGCGATTCACTGCCAGTGAGGGCTGCACTTTACAAAACACAGATTCATCTGTGAGACTCCGGAATCTCCTCTTGTGTCAAGTGCTTGTTGAAAAAGTAGGTCAAATCTCTTCTTTTATGATTCACAGCCTCAGGGAATCTTTAGACCCTTGCAAGCATTCAGTGGGAAGGTGGTAGCAGAAAAAACAGCTGATCCCCCCCACTAAGGTCTTCAGAAGAGTCCTAGAATGGGAGGCAGTTCCACTGAGCCTTGAGGGCTGCATGGAGGAAACAGACCAGGTTATTTCTGGAGGCATTTTGCCTAAATTGTGTAGCTCTAGGTAGGTTCCAGAACCTGTTAAATAAATACTGTTTCCCTACATAGGATGGTTTCATCTAACACAGATTTGCAGCTTGCATTTGCCTCCCTTTCTGAACAAATTGCAGTGAAAAATAATCATACAAAGAAACACACACACACACACACACACACACACACACACACCCCCCAAACAACAACAACCCCATGACACCCAGAGCCGGTGCAGCTGTAGCCCTTTGCTGCGTGACGCTGGGCCAGTGGAGCACTCAGCCATCTGGTCTTTCTCTCAGTGTAAACAGCCCTGGTGGACTTTTCTAGCTGACTGCAGGGCAGAGGAGCAGTGTAGTCAGTGTAGACGCCCATGTCCTTGGCCTCCCTGAAGTCGCCCACCTGCTGCTCCTCTCCCGCTGCCCCAGATGCGCGGAGGAGTCCAATGGGGTAGCGTGCTCTTGGTGCAGACACTTTCCGTTGGCAGAGTCCCCAGGTCATGTCGGCGGAATGCTCGCTCTCATTCAGCTTTGCAGAGGGGAGCGCCGGGAAACTGCAGAACAGGATTCTGGCTGGACAGATGCTCAGTTCATTCATGTAGCAGCTCCTCGCTGAGCCCCTACTGTGTGCTGTGGAGCAAGAATACTTGCCTGCTGGAGAGTCCAGACATGTCTACGTGGGCCCCAGCAGAGGGAGAGCTCGCACCAGCATAGAAGCCATGGGGCCCCAGCGCTAGAGGCAAGACTGGCAAAATCAAAGAGAGCGCTCTTCTGCTTCAGGTGACCCTGGACTGATCCCAGGCAAATGGCCCCCAGGTCCCCTGACAGCTGTCGGGCTGGTCAGGGGGCTTCTGCTGAGGAGACAGTGTTTATGCAGAAACAAGCCCACACAAAACCTGCACATCTGGGCACTAGACCCGCCGCCCAGAGATAAAGCCAGCTGAGTTTTTGAGTCTGGCAGATTCTCTTGTATTTCCTGCTTTTCTCAGAATCCACAAGCAGCCCCGGGACCCCTCCCTGGGGAGATGGATCTGTCCGGAGCCAGCTGCATCCTCTTTTCTGTCCCTAGACTTTTTGCTGTGGCCACCTTGGGAGCTGCTGGTGGGGGCGCAGCCTCATCACTCCCACTGGGGAGCGTGACGGGCTGGCTCAAACAAATGAGGATGGCTCCTCCGTCCTGGGTCTCTCACACACTGCCTGGCCGTACTCTGACCTGGCCTCCCGCCCTCGGTTGGGGGTCCTCTTCACCTCCACTTCCTGTTTGCGTCTTCTCCTGAGGACCGTCGGAACCCCCCGTGGAAATGGGCCAAAGCTTTAGCTGTGGAACAGAGGCCAGCCCAGCTGGGGAGACAGATGGGAGGCCTCGCCTACCGGGTGCAGCCACGCTGTTTTAGGCACTCGGGTCCCCGGGGTCTTGTACGTTTTCCGGATGCAGGAGCATCCCCCCAGGGGGCTGTGTCAGGCACACCTGGACACTTAGAGCTGGGGAATTTTGCTCAAGGCTCTTCACTCCTCTTGTCTTCTTGATGTGATTTCCCTACGTAGATATTTCACATCTAAGTCCAGGTTCTGCTCAGAATTTCAGGCGAGGTGTGCAAAGGAATGACGTCTACTGTCTGCTCTTCTTTCTGCCCACGCTCCCCCTCGCCCGAGTCCGTACCCCACTTCCAGGCCCAGGCCCAGGCCCTGTGGCGCTGCCTGGCCACACAGGGGCTGCCTGGCAGGTTGACATCCCTGTGGGACGTGATGGCAGTGATGTGCCTTTTGAGTGGACAGGGCCTTTGCCTTTCCTCATTCTCTCTGAGTCCCTGGGCGCCACTCCGGCTCTCTGCGGGTCCCACCTGCCGCCCAAGTTTATCTTCTGTCCTGAAGAGTCTGATGCAGTTAGGCCTGGCTCGTCTTCCCTTCCTCACCCGTGTTGTGGGAGGCCGGCCTGGTAGCTTCTCTTCCCGTTGCTCCTTGACTTTGAAGCGGCCGAAACCCATGAAGGTGGAAGAGTGAACCTGTGAGCGCTGTCCTTTAGAAGGGGCTCCTCTTGGTTTTATTTTGAGGTTCCTCTTCTGGGATCCGGGCGTGAAAGTTCAGAGGTCTGACCATTTCTGGTGGCACTTTGGTGTGTAACCCATGTCCTCTTTCATTGGGTACTGAAACCTCAGCTATCTCTGTGCCAAGGGTGTCTGATGGGACCCTGTGAGAGAGGCTGGGGGCAGGGGACTTTTAATCCTTGAATAGGGAGCAGCAGGAAACCTCATCACACATCTGTGTCTGTGGCCCGTTGACCCATGTCAGCTGAGGGCAGACCCCGCCTCTTCGACTCAGAGACCGAGCTGATGGCCACAGCCAAGGGGACAAGGGACTAGGAGGCAGGTTTCCTGTGGATGGGGCCGGACGCATGGGTGGTTCTGTCTGGTTTTGTGAAGTCGTTCTTCCAGAAGTTTTACCACCTGCTTTAGGCGCCTGGTATCAGCAAAGTGGAGATGTGCAGTCGCCTGCCTGCGGAGGGTTTCTCAGGAAGACGTAACTAGTCGGTTCATGTTGGGTATGATGTAGGCAAGTGTAGGTAGCGTGTCATTGGGTGCTGTCCCAGAGTAAAGGGGTAGAGGTTGTACCTCGAAGCCAGTTGAGGGGGAGCATTCGAGGCTCCGGGGAGCCTTGCCCCAGTCCCCCCGAGGGCCTGGGCCCCTCCCCAGTAGCTGGGCTCACTCAGACCAGGTGAGCTGAGAACCAAGTAAAGAGCCAGGCGGCAAGGCACCAGATTGGGCCTGCGCCTGCTCTGCCACTTAGGGGTTGGATACCTTTGAACTTAAGGAACTCAGAGGTCCATGTCCCAAGAAACCGGGGCCAGTTTCTCACCGTATCTCTCTGAACCTTGGTTTCTGCATAAAGTGGAGGAGTTGGACGAAGGTCCCGAAGGCCCTTTGCATTTCTTACATCAGTACCTGGGCCCCGCTCCCACCCAACAATTGCACCTCCTAAGCTCCCTCCACCAGTGACTGCAGGCCGGCTCCTCCTCGTGAGAGGTCATTGTGCATGCGTGACGTTAGAAAGACCTTCCACCCCTGGCCCACAGGGTGAGGCCACTAAACCTCATGAGCTGGGTGTAGAACTAGGGGCCTTCTACCAAGTGGGTGTGGCACCAGGACAGCATCGCAAGGTTCCCTAGGAAATGGGACCAAAGACAACAAACACTGCGCTGGCAGGGACGAAGCACGCCTCCGTTTTCCATCAGGCAGGCGGCCAAGGAAACCCCGTGGGCTTGAACAGCGCTGACAAGCACGCTGGACCTGGGGCTCAAGGTCAAAGCCATGAGAGGTGGGCAGGGACCTGCTAGGGGCCACGCCAGGCTCCTTTCCCTGAGCACCCTCAGCAGGGTGACCGTAGAGACTCTCAGGCTGGCCCTCTGCACGTCCGGAGGAACGTGACTGGGACGAGCCAGATGTCACGGCAGAAACAATGCTGCTATTAAAGGGACAAGATGACTGCCAGCTGCCTTTGCGCCCACACTCCAGAAAAGGGGGTGCTGTGTTGATTCTGGGGGGCTTGCTCCTGGACCCCTGGAGCCCTCCTGGTCAGAGTTGTGTCCAGCAAAATCAGATGCCTGCGTAGCGGAGGTCTGGCAATGGGCCCTTGCTGTCCTCGGCCAGCAAAGACTGGGGCTCGTTCTGACTCGGTCACACTGGCCTGTTACAAGCCAAACCAGACCATTGGCCTCCCGTCTGATAACGCTTTTCTAAATGTTTGGGCCTTTCCCCCTCGTGCTTTTCAGTTCTGGGCTAAGCAAGCCCCAGATGCAGGCGGCTTTTCCCAGGGTGCTCAGACGGTCTCTTCAGCCACTCCGCAGTGTTTGGGTGCCTGGGATAGGGCCCAGCAGCCAGCCACTGCCAATTTGAAGCCCTGCAGAGGCCCGTGGAGGGAATTTCTCAGACCGGCAGAGCGTGGGTGTCCCTTTCCTGGGGATGTCCCCCCAGGCGTGGGTGTCCTCGGAGCCCGGGAGCCCGGGTCCCAGCCCCTGCCTCTGTCTTCCAGGCAGGCCTGGCCTCCCCCGAGAATGCAGAGCAGCTCATCATCGCCTTGGAACCCGAGGCGGCCTCCATCTACTGCCGGAAGCTGCGGCTGCACCAGATGATCGAGCTGAGCAGCAAGGCCGCGGTCAACGGGTACAGCTCCAGAGACACAGTAGGAGCTGGGTTTGCACAGGGTACCTCTGCTCTCTCTCTCCCCCTCCCTGCTCTCTCCCCTCCCGCCCCTGCATGTGTCTGGGCCTCTGTGATTTAAACGCACTTAGTGCTGTAGAAGAATCCAGGTGCTCCCAGAGAGGTTGGCGTTAAGCATCTCTGTGCTCAGCCCCCCTTTACCCGGCCCACCATGGGGTCCCCGTAAACTTGGCAGTGGGTACCCTGGTTCATCACCCCACCCCCACCTGCCTTGGCGGGGAGGGCCCTTCTTTCCAGAAACTTGAGGGGGGCCCGAGAGCAGTCCTTGGCCTTGCATTTTACTAAGCTCTTAATCTTTCTTGTCTGTTAACTGATTCTTAATCTAATCCCATCTGCCTGTTAGTAATTCCTCCATTAAGACTGTTGACTTACTGCTGACTCACTCATTGAGGCCGCTTGGTGTGTGATGAGCTCATTATGTGTTTTAGCTATAAACCTGGCAAGAGTTTCAACTACAGATGGAAAGGGCTGATTTTTCCTGACCCGGCTGATAACTCACTTAGCTTTGGAAAAGGTCGCCTGCCTAAGGAGACTTGCGGACTTAAGAAGGGATTTAAGAGGGACCTTAAGAGACTTTCTCATACTTACCTGTATGTAAGTGGGTCACAGTCTGGCCCCCAGAACTGTTCTCCCTGGCGGCCCAGGCTCTGTGGGTCTGTTCAGGGCCATGGCGTTTGCAGACCCCTTAGGTCAGGGCCAGCCCACCGCTGTGAGGGACTGGGGAAGCGGATCGGAATGCTGCGGGTGGCGCACAGCTCTGGGCTCTGTCCCCAGTGAGGCCCTCGAGGACAAAAACCCACCTGTCACCCACCTGAGAAGCCAAGCCCAGAAGGAGAGGGGTGACGTGAGCGGGCCTGTCCCAGCCCCCTGTAGCCTCGTTCCCGAGTTTTCCTTGGTCCCCACACCCGAGGCACACCCAGGACCTTGGACCCAGGCGCACCCTTAGCAGGTGCATGTTCCTGCCCAGAAGGTTGCCGGCCGGTTCCCTGGGGCCTCTCCTGTTCCCTTTCACAGGGTAATGCTGCCCTGGAGGTGCGCCCTGCATGTCCACCCAGGACGAGGGAGTCTGTGAGCCTCAGCCACATGGCAGTGGCGCAAAGCTCACGGTCACCAAGCCGCCGCCTCAGCCCGCCAAGGCTGTGTGTTCACGCCTCATATCTGGTGCTCCCGGAAAGTGTGCAAACAGGCTTCCCTTTAAGTCTGAGGGCTTGCCTTGCCCTTCCCAGCCGCGCGCGGCCTCAGCGCGTGCCGAGGTCAGCCTTACTGCCGCCTGGGTCGACTGCGTCCTTCTCCATCTTCAGGACGATGCACTTATTTAAACTTCCACCTTCGTTGTTTTAATTAGAAAAAAGAGGAATGACTGGGTTTTTGTCTTACTTGCTGGTAATTAGTTGGTCAGAAAAAGAAATACGTAAGAAGTAGTTAGCTCTTCTTACTACTTCCTAATTATAACACATGTGAGGGGAAAACTGTTTTTGCATGTTTGCCTTCCCTGAGAGCTCAGTTTCAGTTTCCTTTCCTTTCACACGTCCTGTCTCCCCGCACACTGCTCTGTGTCTGTGTCCAGTGCCTTGTGGCCTTTGCTGTTGTCTCCTGTGCTCAGAGCATCTTGATGGTTTTTTAAATCTTCAAATTGTTGACAGAGGCAAGGGTTCCATCTCGGCCTTGGGTTGCAGTTAGAGCCTCTCTCCCAGAAGGATCGGGCGCTGCCCGGGGAGGCCCGGCAGAGCACTTAATCAGGGGTACCCCGGGCGGACCCAGTGCCCTGAGACCCCCCCTCCACCCCCCGGCCGTCCCCTGCCCTGAGGGGACTCCCAGTGGGCACTGCAGTGGAGAACCGGGTCAGCGCCCCGCCCCCAGCCCCACAGCGTTTGCTGTCAGTTGTTTTTTTTTAATCCAGGAGGATTTAATGAGATCAGTAAAGGATACATTTTCACCAAATGGACTTAATTTGCCTGAAAAATGGGATAATTTTTTGAGAGCTCAGAACATGTTTTGTTAGCTTCGCTTGGCCGTTTTTTATGAGGGCCATTTTGTCAGTCATCTAGATTGTTTTAGGAGACCAGATGCCACTACCAGATCTGCAATAGAAATCCGCCTGGAGCCGGCGCTGGGAACAGGAGAGGAGCCCCGAGTCCGGGGGTCCCTCCCAGGCCTGCAGGGGCTCTCCACTCCGGGGGCGGCCTCTCCGCCATAAACCAGGGCCTGAGGAACTCAGAGCTGGCCCAGCGCTGGCCATTCTAATCCCAGGAGAAAATGTTGTTTTGCAAACACTGCTCCCTGCTGAAAGGCTAGAGGGTCAAGGGTCCTTTATTGGATAAACAGCAGCGGACAGATTTGTAGAGCAATTCAAAGTCTGCAGCGCCCGCTTAGGGACTGAAGAAATGGGTGTGGACAAAGTGGGGGAAGGGGCCGCAGAGCTGGGGACAGAGCCTGGGCCTGTGGAATAGGTGGTTGCTCTGAGTCGTGCGTGGTGGCGAGCATTTGTTGGGCACCAGGTCGCGGACGCGGTGCTTTACCTTCGTGATCACCTACGGTGAGCAGGGTCACTCTGGCTGCTCAGGACAAACCAGAGAGCCAGCCCTTGCTCTGCCTCTGAGGAACTGGGGCCGAGTGTTACCATCCCTGTTTTATGAGTGAGGAAGCTGAGGCGAAGGGGGGCTGAGTTGCCCGAATGCCCACCCTGGCTATGCCCTGCTGCCCGCCATGTATCCTTTCACTGCACCTTTCCCCCTTCTTCGCACTTGTATTCTGCTTTTTCAGACTTCGCTTTAAATTGTGAACTCTCAGCAGCATGAGGGTCCCTGGTCGCAGGGTTAATTTCGGGCTGCAGGGCAGTGTGGGAACTGCGAGCCCCATCCCTCCCTGACCTGCTTTCCTCATCTTGACAAGGGTCGATGATTGTGCCCTGTCTGCCTCCCAGGGCTGTCGGAAGGCCAGTGGGAGATGAAGTCCCCCGTGCATGGTGTCTGTCACACAGCCACTAGGTACCCGGAGCCACAGCCAGTTACTGTCCCTCAGTGCTTAGGGAGAAGGTGGTGCTGGGCTTGGCTAGTTTCAAGCGCGCCACCTTGTGGCCAGCGAGCATACTGACTTCAAAAAGGTCAGGAAATGGCTCCGGTCCCATTTATCAGGGATCCAGATTAGAAAAACATGCCCCACTTTCCTTGTATCAGAGTTGATGTGAAACTATTTAACCAAGCGCACTGAAGGCTGTTTGGCAGGCAGCTTCCTCCCTGGGACAGCAAAGCAAGGAAATTGGCCTATTTCATTAACCCATTCCTCCCCACATGTCACCGGAAGATGGGGCTCTCATCCAGGGGAGCTTTTCAGCAGGGTCCAGCCTAAAGCTGCCGTGCAGATGAATGTAGGAAGGCCGGTGGCAACAGCTACTTGCTCGGTAATTCCTGGTGTTGTCTTCATGGAACTGTTTTGATCACGTTTCACTAAATGTTCTGTCCCTAAACCTCCTCATGCTGTGGCCTCCACTGACTGCAGATGACTGACTGTCCGCTTTTTCATGCCTTCTTACCCGTCACCGTTTTCTTTCTGTCGGCCACTAGCTAAGGAACACATACGGCGTAATCGGCAGAGCCGGACCTTTTTGGTGGAGAATGTCATAGGAGAGATCTGGTCCGAGCTGGAGGAAGGTAGCGTCCTTGAATGTCCTTTGCCTTTGCTGGATTTGTGTGTGTGTGTGTGTGTGTGTATGTGTTTGTGTGCGCGTGTGCTGCTAGCACAAATGCTTTCCTATTTGTTCCTTTTGTACTTTTGGAAAATATTCAAAATCAAGTGGTTTTAAAAACTACTCGCCCAAGGAGGGCTTTTTTTGGAGCTGTAATTTTGCATGTTTTAAAACCACGTAGACTCTTTAGAAGAAAGGTAGGGATTGGAATTCAACCGCTCCAGAATAAGTCTTCTGTTAAACAGCAGGTCATTTCATGGCACTATTCACGTGGCAGGAAGTTGTCCATTGGACATGCCAGGTATGCAGCAGCATGTGACATGAATGCTTTAGTCTGCAAGAGCCACGCCTCTGGGATCTTCATCATCCATGCTAACCGGCACTAGCAAACATTATCGGCTTCTTTTCAGTCATGAATAACGCTGTGCAGCTCATTGGCAAACCCCTTGTACTAATGAGAAGCGTTGGGTGTACAGGTCATCACCCACCGCTTGTTTCAGGATGCATTGACAAGTGGTCTATGTAAAGGATGGCTGTTTGTTTGTTTTTTTTTTAACTAGGTGACAAATACGTGGTTGTGGACAGCGGCGGTGGCACTGTAGACCTGACAGTCCATCAGATACGGTTACCCGAGGGACACCTTAAAGAATTGTACAAAGCAACAGGTGAGCGCCTGCATGGCTGACTCTCTCCTTGCTGAGTCGTTTCCCTCGTTTCAGATTTCCCCAGGCATCTCATTGTCTCCTGCCACCTGCATGTGGGATAGTAGGCAGGAGGCGGTACCGGGGCTTATGTAAAGTTGGAAAGCAACGCACAGTTAAATCTCCTCTAAAATGCAAACCACCGTAACATGGGTTTTGGCAAAAAGTGAGCCTGTTTCAGCTCCTAGCCAAGAGAGTTTGCTTCTGAAAGTTGTGGAAGGATGTGACGGAAACCTGGTGTCACTTACAACTTGGTGCTGTGGCTACGTTTTCTGGGATGGTCCCAGGACACCTGGACTTGGGTCAAGATGGCCAAACCAAAGGTCAGGCTCCTTCCCTTGGTTGAGTGGGGGCGATGAGTAGACCACAGGGACCAAGCGAGGTCTGCTTGTTTTCCTGATCCTGTCCTTGGGTGGCTTGGCTGGGAAAACCACAGCACTCTTTAGTTACTTCAATGTACTGATTTTATTTAAAAAGCAGTTGATTTCAAACAGGTTCCTGCATGAGTAATGAGAAGAACCTAAGTGAAGGCGCAGCTTGCAGTCCCCCGCGCAGGGGCAGAAAGAACAGGGCAGGCTGTCTCCCAGGGTCTGGGTTCGGTTCTCGCCGTCTGTAACGCAGTGGGCTCCACTTTGTTCTTGACGCAGGTGGACCCTATGGATCCTTAGGAGTAGATTATGAATTTGAAAAACTCCTGTGTAAAATATTTGGAGAGGATTTTATCGAACAGTTCAAAATCAAGCGTCCTGCGGCCTGGGTCGACTTGATGATCGCATTTGAGTCTCGCAAAAGGGCAGCCGCCCCGGACCGAACTAACCCACTGAACATCACCCTGCCCTTCTCCTTCATCGACTACTACAAGAAGTTCCGCGGGCACAGTGTGGAGCACGCCTTGAGGAAGAGCAAGTGAGTGGGGCTTGCGCTGGATTCAGGACACTCCAGGGGGTGGAGCAGGGAGAAACTTCGCCGCCACTCTTTGGTTGCCCTAAAGTATAGGTCAGTGGGAAAGACAAGACACATGCTGGGTTCTTCCTTCCCATTGGTAAGATTTTTGTTTAAAAAACTGTTGACTTCATAGCATCCTCCAAAGTGACAAATGAACTCTTTTCTTGGCAGGAGCACAGGGAGAGTATCATTAGGAATCCATGGGTTTAAGCATATTTGATGCGTTGTAAACCATGCATTAGTGATGCTCAAATTGTCCCATCTTGGCCCGTGGGAGCCTCTTCGGGTTGGCTCCCGTGTCCTATCGACATGACCTTTGTGGCCTCTAACAGTATTCGCCTTGTGGTCAGTGAAGGTACCCCTGACTTACCTTGTGCATCCCCTGCCACGCCTGTAATTGGTTGTTTCTCTAAGAAGCCCTGGTTCCTCTTAGTGGGAAACCAAGTAGATTGACTCCAGGTCTCTGTGCCTTAGGAGCAGGGTCCCAGCCTCTAATGAGACTAATGTTCTCCCTGCCCCAGGTCCCCTGCAGAAGGCACGTGCTTCTAGCTGTCCCCCGAGTCCTGCCTGCATAGTTCTGGGGCCTGCCGGCTCTCGCTGGGGAGACTGGCCGCGGCCAGCCATTGGGTCGCGCCACGCCACACCACATTGTCCTTTGGCCTAGACCATGGAAAGAATTCCTGGTCTGTGAGACACGGCAGCATCTAGAATGTGAGGCTGGGAGGCGGCTGGTATGTGCTTTGCTTCAGGGACAGAGACAGCATTTGTTTGGTCCTTCTAAACTTGAGCGGAGGTGGGGTGCACCCTGCCCTCAGCAGCCACCGGCATTCCTTTGGCACCACAAAGTTTCCAAACTGTTTCCACAGACGGGGCATTCCACCGCATCTTCACAACAACCCCTGTGAGGGAGGTAGGGAAAGTGGCATTATCGTTGATTTGCAGACGAGAAGCCGGGGGCTCAGAGAAAATCCTGGCCCAAAGTCCTTCAGCAGCCCCGTGGCGGGGGCCGGACGGGGCCCAGCCGCCTCGGCTCCCTGTGCCCGGCTCCCTTTCCGCTCCGCGCCGCTGCTTTGGGCGTGCCGCTCCTTTGACAGAGACAGTGAGGGACACCGGCAGGGCGAGGCTTCTCACCGTCACGGGACAGGGGCCTGCAGGGCTGCACCTGAGCACAGAGGCATCCTTACGCATCACAGGAGGACACGTCATTTGGGCCTTTAACACACTCGCATCCAACTCCTGTTGAATCAAAACGTGGTCATTGAAAGGGAGAGATGCGTGTATCTGCTGTCCTCTGCCCGAGACACTGGCTCCCACCCTCCCAGGGGACGGCTGGCCACCGCGGAAGGCAGAAGGAGCAGAAGAGGCCATGCCTTAGCGTGGGCGCTTCTAAGGGTCGAGGTCCTGGAAGTTTAGATGAGTTCCGAGGACTCTGAAACCCCTTTCTGCCAGCCCCACGCCTATGCCTATGCCTGTCTGCGTCTGCGGGCACAGTTCGCACACTCACCGCTTGCTTCCCTCTCCGCCGCGGCCCGCAGTGTGGATTTCGTGAAGTGGTCCTCGCAGGGGATGCTGAGGATGAGCCCCGATGCCATGAATGCCCTTTTCAAGCCGACCATCGACAGCATCATCGAGCATCTCCGTAAGTCGCGGCCAGGGCTCGGGGGCTCGGGGGCTCCGGGGTGGAGCCCCGAATGGGGACTGACTTTCCAGGGTGGCCGACCCTGCACGTGAAGTCAGGTTGGCAGGCAGGCGGGGCCGGCAGCATGTACCTGGGCAGTTGCTGGGCACAGGCACCAGGTCCTGCCCCTCAGGTACTGAGAGCAGCCGAGGGTCTGTCTTCCCCTGGGCTTTCCCATGGCTCCACCAGTCAGAGCTGAGAGCTCTGTAGCACTGTCCCCCTCCAGCCACAGGCCCTAAAGAATGTACAGTCTTTGCTTGATGTGGAAAACTTAGGACCCGTGACCCTTGCCGGGGAGAAGGAACTGTCGTGTGAACCAAAGAAAGGTCCCCACAGGAAGGGGGACGGAGTCTGGCTGTGCTGCTGTCTTCTGTCTCAGCGGCCTTGTCCAGGGACACACAGGAGACTCACCGGGGATCACAACCCCTAGGGGTGGGTTGGGACGTGTATGAAAACTAAAGAGCCTGTCTTGACTTAACAGAACCACAGGGTTGAGGGTTAGTTGTTTTCCTTTGTGCATAACAATGGCTACTTAACATGGTCACTCTCTGTCTGTGAAGGTGGGCTTCGGCTTAGCAGTAGCTTCGGTTTTTATTCCTGAGCATATTGGTGTGCAAACAAACCCCTTCCTTTAAAAGACGAGCTCTACAAAAATCCTGGCCACACTCAGCCCGCCCTCCAGCCGGCCCACATGCTTGTGCCCATTCCCCACATTCTCAGCCCCCCACCCCACCTTGGCTGCTGGCTTTGGCGACAGGCTGTTGTCCTTCCCTCTTGCTTTTCAGGGGATCTGTTCCAGAAGCCCGAGGTGTCCACTGTCAAGTTCCTCTTCCTGGTGGGCGGCTTTGCCGAGGCCCCCCTCCTGCAGCAGGCGGTCCAGACGGCCTTCGGGGACAAATGCCGCATCATCATCCCCCAGGACGTGGGCCTCACCATCCTCAAGGGCGCCGTCCTCTTCGGCCTGGACCCCGCTGTCATCAAGGTGCGCCGGTCCCCGCTCACCTACGGGGTGGGCGTGCTGAACCGCTACGTGGAGGGCAAGCACCCGCCCGAGAAGCTGCTGGTGAAGGACGGCACCCGCTGGTGCACTGACGTCTTCGACAAGTTCATCTCCGCCGACCAGTCTGTGGCCCTGGGCGAGCTGGTCAAGCGCAGCTACACCCCCGCCAAACCCTCCCAGCTCGTCATCGTCATCAACATCTACAGCTCTGAGTGCGACAGCGTGAGCTTCATCACCGACCCCGGGGTGAAGAAGTGCGGCACTCTCCGCCTGGACCTCACGGGGACCAGCGGCACTGCCGTGCCCGCCCGGAGGGAGATCCAGACCCTCATGCAGTTTGGGGACACCGAGATCAAGGCCACCGCCATCGACATAGCCACCTCAAAGAGCGTCAAGGTTGGGATCGACTTCTTAAATTACTAACTGGCCTTCCCCGTCGCCTGTCCCCTTGGACTCAGCTCACCTGCATCTGCCGACCTCAGCCCTGACTGTCCTGTCCCTGCCCTTGACCCTTGACATTGCCCACCTGAATTTCAGCAGGGAAGACGAGACCAGGGCTAGAAATAATTAGAGGTTTTTGAGGGCACGCTTGAGTCAGAGAAGCTGCCGGGACATTAAGATTGGGGGTCAGGAATAAGAAACGCAAGGATCCCAGAAGAGCAGCTGGTGTCCGTCGGTCCCCGCGGCGGAATGCCCGCCCTGCAGGGGACCCCGTGCATCTCTGCCCCATGGCTGGGCTCGCTCTGAGCGCACCTCGTTATGCAGAACTCAGGATGCTCCACCACCGTCCTTCTGGATCGAAATGAGAGCCTTGAGCCAGGAGGAGATTCTTCATCTTTCTGAGGCTTTTCTTTTTTCTTTTTTTTTTTGGGGGGGGGGGGCAGTCAAATATAAAATGCCACCCATTTGCAGTTCATTGCTTTTCCACGTCACGTGATGAGAAGTGGAGACTCAGTGGGAGATTGGCGCGTCTGTAGCAGGTGGGAGAAGACCGCCTACCCTGGGCGCTGTTTTCGGTCCTCGTGATTTAAACCCCAGACAGGTTCCAGCAGAATACCTGTAGCCCTGACCAATCCTCCAGGGCTTGCGTGAGCGAGGGAGCTGCTGCCTCAACTTACCAGCAGGAGAAGACTCGCGTCGATGGGAATGGATGTTAAAGAGCTACCGACGCATCCTGAAATCACATGCTGTGTAATTTCAGGCATCAGAACGCTGGATCCTGATTTCTGAATTCATAGGTCATTCTAGTTAACCTTAGTAGGATTTTTTGAGAAAACAAGTTTTCATTTTCCCTTGTTCATAGCAATCACCAAGCCTAGGTATCTGGAACAGCTCCTTACCTTGGAAAAGGTGCATATTTTAAATTAACTCCCTCCTCCCAGCTTACTTACCACCTCGGCCCCGTGAAAGTTTTGGCTCTTTATTCCTACATTTTTTTTTTATTGACCTAAATTTTTATTTTATTTTTAAAATTTTTTTAGTGGTGTTCAATTACAGTTGTCCCTGTTTTCTCCCCGTTACTCTCCCCTGCCCTACCCACCCCCGACCTACCACTTACAGTTCTCCCTCCATTGACTTTGTCCATGGGCCCTTTATACATGTTCCTACATTTCCAAAGAAATATATTGGTCATATTCAGGCAGTGAATCTATTCCATAGAATGTTGTATTAAAATGGTCAGTTTTTAAATTTTGTCCAAAAGGAATTCTTAGATCTTTACTTGATGAATTAGGCCAGGTTTTTTTTTTTTTTTTTAAGCAGATTTGCGGTTCACCCACCTGAGGGTGCTGGTTAAAACAGGTTCCTGGAAATGTCAAATCACTATATTGTACACCTGAAACTGTTATAACTAATACAGTGTTATATGCCAACTGTATGTAAAACAAAACAAGACAAAACAGGTCCCCGGACCCTGTCCCAGGCACCAACGGAAGTCAAGCCTTGGAGCTTTCAGGAGACGCTGCTGCAGGAGACTGGTTTAGCTGACATTTGAGAACCCCTCGTGCTGGGATTGTGTGGGAGACCGAAGGGCAGACCAGAGTCTGCAGCCTCCGGCCACCCCCTGCGCGCCCCCTGAGGGGAAGGGTTCACCTGAGGAGCAGCGACCCCCACCTGCCCTCTTGTGAACGGGCCGGGCTCCCAGCTGGCTCGGGGAGGGCGCATCCACCCCTCCCAGGAAGGGCTCGGGGAGGAAGGAGGTGAGAAAAAAGGTGCCCTAGGAAAGGGACTGACTGAGGAATCGCCCCGTGGGGTCTGTAGTCCCCACCTGCAAAGACAGTCTTCTCCAACATCCAGGAACTGACAGAGGAAGAACCACCAAGAATCTGACTCCCAGCCCCTGTGGTCTGTTCAAAGCCGTCCTTCCACCTCCCAGCCCGTGTGGTCTGTTCAAAGCTGTCCTTCCACCTGCAAGGACGATTTTAAATCACTGGGGGCATGCGTAACAAAGGAAGGGAGGATGAGCAAACTAACTGCAAGTGCACATTGGATTCACAAACCCATCCTCACAGCTGGTCTGCTGATTTGAAATAGCATTTCTAATGTCATTTTAACATGCCCGCTTTGTCACCTCGCCTGCTGCAGAATTCCCTACTAGAATGTGAAACACAACAGACCACAGAACTTGGGGATGCTAGTCACACCGCCGTCACTGGATCTCTCGTCTGGGCACACAGGCGTGTTTGCCAGGGTTTTCTTGCTGCCTGCTCCGCTTCAAAAGCTACGTGTTATGGGTCCTGGTGTTGCCAGCCATACTCTACAAATAAGACTTTTCTATTTAGTTATATGTAATTTTATGTACATACAGTATTAGAATATTGTACAGATTCTTTATTTCTATAATGTGCTTTTCTTGTTTAAAAAAAGAAAAATGCTCTTTGAATTCTGTTGCGGCCTTTAAATTTTCATGGTTTCATTACCTAACTCTGCTGACTACTCATCGATTTGTACCGATCCTAAGCTACGGACAGTCTATGCGAGACTGAGCGACAGACAGAAGTGCCCAGGGTCAGAACATTCTGAACAGATGGGCCACCTGGGTCAATGGCTTCGTCAGACCGTTCTAGACAGACATCCTTTCCAAAGGGCCACAGTTTATATTTAAAGGAGCATCATAATGTACCGATTCTCCTGTCCAGTCTTTGAGAGCGGAACATTCTGGTTCTGGAAGCAAAGTGACTGTGTGCAGAAAAACCTGTGAAAACTCTTTGCGCCCCTGGTGGGGCAGGGCAGTGACTGAGGGCGAAGTGTGGTCCACCGCAGGTGATGTTTTCAGTGCATCACGGTCAAAGGGAGGCACGGCGTAGGGCACAGGCCCAACTTTTCTATTGGATTAAGTAGAAGTGTGGGTAAAATAGGCAAGTCCCCCTTTTTTTGGCTAATAATGGAAGGCCTTTCCCACCTTGCATTAAGGATGTCTCCTTGTCTACTATATATTTCTCTTAAAATGAGCTGGTTGAAATCTGTAGTGTTGGCAGAGAGCAGATGGGGGGGGTGATACTTCTACTGGACCTTGTTTTGGCCCCAGAGACGTAGCCCCAATAGTGGAACTCCTTAAAGGGAACCCCCAGATCTGTGCCTCCTCCCTCTTCCCCCCATGGAAATATTGTAGAGTTGAAGCAAGAGATAAGTACACTTGGATACATTTTCTAATCTTAGAAAATTTCGAAAAGGCCTGTTGTCTTGACACATCACTCAGTTGTCCCCGGCTTATTACCTGGTGTTCACCTTTCTCGGAAGTGGAACTGTCAAAGGGTTTCCTTTGTAACTGCCCTTCTGTACACAGCAGGCATTAATACAGGCTGAATGAGAGACAAGGTAAAACAGACAAGAGAAGAAAGGGGAGGAGATATACAAGCGTTTTTTTTTTGCAAAGTGATGGCTAAGATGCGTCCAGATTACAGAGCCTGCCTTATCCTTAGAATGATATTTAGATCAAGTTTAGCTTTTAGAGTCCAGGTCTAGTTTATAGCCAGGGTGGCAAAGAATCGCATGCACCAATATAAACAGGAGTCAAAATGCATTATTAGTCGATGATCGAACCTTTACATTGTAGAGACGAAATAGCTGTGATTAAGCTGCATATTTATGCTGGGAAATGGCTTCCCTGGGTGACTGCTATAAAAGTTGTTGGCCGTTATGTTACACCTCTCATCTGCTTGGGTAAGGAACTATATTCTAAAATGGGTCTTGTTCAGACTCCACAGAACTTTGCAGCAATTCACGACAAGGTTGTATCTGCAAACTGTCTTCACAGATGTCTAATAAAACAAAACTCTGGATCTCATGTGGCCCAGACTTTGTTTATTTTGCTCTGAATGTGTAAATGGAATCTTAGATGCATCATTACCAACCTCCTCCTGCTTCCCATCTCAGGTGGAGATAGACTTTTCAAGTCCTTTCCTAGGCGGTGCAAGATTTGGTCACTTGCATTCCAACGAGACTGGCCCTTTTTTTCTGCTGGGAAGGAAGGCTCCATTGCTGTCTACAAGCCCCCTTCCCTCCAGCCTGGATGGAAGTGGTGTAGCCAGAGCAAAAGCAGATAAGCCAGGGTGGCCACTGACAACACCACTGAGCCCAAATGAAGGTTATAAAAAAAAAAAAAGCACAAGATCCACGTCTGGTGACTATGACATCCCAAGCAGGCACACGAAGCTGGCTGCTGCATCTAGCAGGGGAGCACAGCCCGCGGCCCAACACAAAATCATAAATTTTCTTAAAGCCTTTTTTTTGCTCATCAGTTTTCATTAGTGTTTGTATACATAATGTATGGCCCAAGACAACTCTTCTTCCAGTGTGGCCCGGAGATGCCAAAAGGCTGACACCCCTGAGAGCCTTGGGTTTATTCCAGGCTCTGTGTCTGGATGGCCCTCCAGAGCTGGCTCTGGGTGATGTGAGGCAGGAAGGCTGGGAGGTGCAGTAAGCAGACAAATGAGTATGGGAATATAGCGTCCAGGGCACTGTTTTCCAGTCAGGCCTCCACTTCCTTCTCTGTACAGGGAGGGGCTGGGACCCCGCCTCCGTAAAGGCCACGAATCCCCACATCCTGAGTCACACAGTGGACATCTGGGTGCCAATCCAATGACATGAAGGTTCAGCCCTGCCTCGGTGCCCATAAGATGGGGATGGTTACAGAGGACTAGCCCCACCGGCCCGGGCAACCCTTCATTGTGGCACATCGCCCCTTTCTGCCCTGGTACCTGTCCCGCCAGCTGAAACTCCATCTTCTCTAAGAGACAGGGCTGGGGACTCGTGGGAGAAGCCCAAGGGAAGCACCTGTACCTGAAAGCCGCCAGGGACACGGGCCTCCGCCCCTTGCCTGGCTGCTTCCTGCACTGGCCAGTCTCGCACCCAGGCGCTGAGTCTTGGGCCCGACTCCGCAAGAGGGAGGGAGGCAGGACTGCTCCCGCAGACCCTCTTCCTCCCACGAGGACCTGGGGCCCCAACGCAGGCCGTCCGGTGGCCACATTACTAAAAGGCGGTTTGACCTAGATCCTTTCGCGCGCCCCGCAATTCCAGAGCCCAGAGGGCCCGGCGCGGGGAGACTGAGAACAGAGATCAGCCTGGGAGACCAGGTATTGGTGGGGCTACTCCTGAGCGAGGCATAGCGGGAAGCGACCCCTAAATTCACTCGGGCTCACCTGCCCCTCTGCCCTCGGGTGGGGCTGCGGGCGGTGAGGAAGGGGCAGGTGCAGCCTGGGGAGCCGGACTCTCCCGTTCCCCGTTCCCCTCCCCCAGGGCCGGTGGTGAGCGCACAAAGGCGGGGAGGCGGGGCGGAGGTCGGCTGGGACCAGAAGCAGCCTGGGCCCATCTAGGCTGGCACAGGTGAGCGACTCGGGAGATAGTGGGGAAAAGGAAGGGCGCCGCCTGTATCCGTGCTTGCAGAACTCATTGCCCGGTCCCCAACCCCCTAGCACATCTCCCATCCAAGCTCTTCCCTCCTACCTCCTCCAGGCAGGCCTCGGGGCTACCCGCTGCTGCCCCGACCGCCACCACGCACTGGGTGCTGCGCCCTTCCCCGCGGCTCACTTTTGGGCAAAATCCTGCCGCTCAGAGTCCGCTCATACCTCCTTGGACGTGACAACCCTCAGACAAGTTACTTAATGTGTGTGTGTGTGTGTGTGTGTGTGTGTGTGTGTGTGTGTGTGTGTTTTCCTCAATAAAATGGGGACCCCTATTGGAACTAACACTTAGGGTGGCTGTGAGGATTTAATGAGAATGCAGCCCCTAGTCAGCCATGTGCCCTAGCGAGCATCTATCAATGTCTGAACTGCTTTAAAAATTCCCAGCGTTGCCTGCTGACCCTGACTGTGGCCTTCCCCTCCCCCCGAGGCTGCTTGTCCTGGTGGGAGGACATCACTTTTAGGAGATGAGGGGTGGGGTGTGCGGGGGTAGGGCCTGGCCTACCAGGCCCTATGAGATGCTGTGCCCCTCCCATCTGGGGCGGGGGCGCCGAAGGCAGTCCCTGGAGAGGGGCGGGGCCTGGCCCTGGAACAGCTTCCACACATACTGATGTTACAGAGGTCCCCCGCCACCGTCTGCCCGACCACCTTGGACTCCATGCCAGCCTTTTGGGATTTCTGGTCCCTTTAGCCAGAAGTGGCTCTCATCCCTTGTTGTGGGGATGCCCTGTGCTTGCAGGATCTTGAGCGACATCCTTGGCCTCTATTCACAGATACCAATAATACCCTCTCCTCTAGTGGTGAAAACCCCAAATAGCTCCAGACCCTGCCAGGTGTTCTGAGGGGGGTGGTGGCGGGCGGCAAAAGAGACCTGGCTCTCCCTTGGTAAAACAAGGCTCTGGGCTGAGGGTGCCTCAACTTTCCCCTCCCCCAAAGTTCTTAAGTCTTCCATGGGGGCTCCTGCCTCTTGCTCATCTTTCGATTTCTAACCTCCATCACAGTTGGTGGCCATCGTTTGTATACAGCTCATGATTGTCAGATGGGGGTGCGTAGGGAAGGCCCCCTGGGCCACGGGCGACTGGCGGGTGGTGATCGGCACACCTGTTATACAAGCTCACGTGAGGGGGGAGCCCCCTGGTTCTGCGATGGAAACCAGCAACATCTCCTGGTTTTGTGTAAGAAAGTGAAACTGCCCCTCCATCCCAGCCCCCTGGCGAGGCCCCTCGACTCCCAAGGGTCCTCGCTCACTTGAAGTGAGTTCTTAAAGCAGGGACCCTTGGTGAGGGTCTCATTCCCTCCTCCCTTTATGAGCAGAGAGCAAAAGCATGGAGCCTTCCAAGCCCTTCATGAGGCAGCCGCCGATCACATCAGGATACAGCGGTAAGTGGCGCCGTGCGCTGCAGGGACAGGCCTGCCCCGAGAGTCACAGTCCCGGTTACTGTCCCTGCTCTGGCCCACGGCCCATGTCTGTCTGGCTGACGGGGCCAGTGCAGGCACTTTAGCTTTTGAGATACTTGTTAAGAGCACCCCATTGCTGAAGACGGCTGATAACTGCGTTCTGATAAATGGAGAAATATCCCTTTGGCCAAATCCCCCAGGACATGACCTGGTAGGCAGGAAGCACTGAACGAAGGCCCATCAAATGCATTTGGACCAGAATAGACACAGTGCCGTGAGCATAGTTAAGGCCCTGTCCTTCTTCCCAATTCGGGCTTTCTCAAGTTTTGCAGTGGAACTGTGCTGATGGTCCCATTCCTTCATGCATCCCCTAGGGGGAAGGTGACCAGCCGCCCTGGTTTGCCCAGAATCGTCCCAGTTTTAGCACTGAAAGTCCTGTATTCCAGCTAATGCCATAGTCCTTGGCACCTGGACAATTTGTTTGCCTGCCGAAAGGCTTCTGGGCTCCTGAGAACTTACTAAGATCCGTCTCCATGACAAATCCAGTGACCCCGGTCGGCTCTCATATGCAGGTGATCTTAGGAGGGGAGATGCAGGGGCCCTATTCCAAGGTTGCCCAGCTGCCCCCTGTCCTACTGGTTGATTAAGAGAACAGGCTCCGGGTTCTAACAAACTAACGGTCAAGTGTCTGCCTGGCCATCGCCTGTGTGTAAGTTACCTCTCTAGGGAAAGTAGATATTTTCACAAAATGGGTGTATTTGTCATCGCACGGCTTTGGAGGCTGGAAGTCTGAAATCAAGGTGTCGGCAGGGCCGTGACCCCTCCAAAGGCTCCAGGGGAGGACCTTCCTCGCCTCTTGCAGCTGCTGGTGGCCCAGGCTATTCCTTGGCTTGTGGGTGCGCCCCTGCAGTCTCTGCCTCCCTCTCCACACGCCGCTTCCTGTGGCCTTTTCCCCTGTGCCATCGGTGTCTGTGTGTCTCAAATCTCTCTGTCCTTTCCTTTTATAAGGACACCAGGCATTGAATTTAGGACCCACCCTAAATCCAGGATGATCTTATTTCAAGACCCTTAATTACATCAGCAAAGACTCTATTTCCAGATAAGGTCACATTTGCAGGTACTGGGGTGAGAACTTGTGTAAATGTATTTGGGGGACATAGTTCAAACAACTGCGTGGGGTAACAATACATTTTTAAAATAAGATTATGGTGAGGATTAGCCCTGGCTGGTGTGGTTCAGTGGATTGAGCACCAGTCTGCGAGGCAAGGGGTCGCTGGTTTGATTCCCAGTCAGGACACGTGCCTGGGTTGTGGACCAGGTCCCCAGTAGGGGGCGTATGAGTGGCAATCACATTGATGTTTCCCTCCTTCACTTTCCTTCTAAACATAAATAAAATCTTAAAAAAAAAAAGATTGTGGTGAGGATTGAAGGAATCAATGTACACAACCTATTTAAAATATCTCAGCCCTTAGCAAGGCTCCATAAAGGCAGCTTGTGTCCCTGTGTGTGTACGTTTGTGCAATTTTATAAAATCCATGCTGATCAAAATAGGCCCTGGTGGGGGAGAAACCATGGGGCAAGGCCCCTGGCTTCCTACTGTCGTCCCCCATGACATCAGGGGATGTTTTAATTGCCCAGGCGCTGGGGATTCTGGGTGGTGGGTGGGGGACTTCAGTCTAGTCATTAGGTTCTTCTTACAGGTGGCTTCCTGCAACATGCAGGGGGCAGCGGTGGCTGCTTTCAACTCTGAAGCCAGGTGTTCCTTACCTGAGGACAAAGGCAAAACTGTTGGGCTTCAGTCACGAGAGTCAATGAATTTATTTTGCAGTTTAAAAGCAAGTCCTTAACCAGTTTTTCCTCATTTGTTCGTTTTTTAAAAGTGGTTTCATTGTGACCATATTACAGTGCTTAGGATTTCAGCATCCAGTTTAAATAAATAGTTGTGTTTTACCCACACTAATTGTAATGATTATCTGTTATTTTGTTGGGAAATGGTGAAAAATTGTTCTAGGGTGGGTCTTGCAGATAATGAATTTACCTTTTTGTGTAATAGGTCTCCGCTTTTAATAGGCCCGCAATTTCCTGATGGTCCAACAAGAAAGATCCCAAATTGCCTTTGGGAAGTGTCAAGGAAAATAAGCTTTCTCTCTAAAAAGGCGAATAATTTCAATTACTCCTCACTCTATCATTTTGGCCCATTACACGCTTTCCCCATTTACTGTTCAGGCTGACATCGGGGGCTTTGCTATCAAAGAACATTACTGTCATCGCCTTTGTTGGAACAGGCCTTCCCTCCCTGGCTCCAAGGTCATTTTTTCCTGGCCTTGGGAGGGCCCAGCCACCAGGGAAATAACAGCTCCACTCGTAGGAAAGGCCTTTGGAGAAATGCAGCGTTGCTAGCCAGGGAAGAGGGGCCAGGTCGCGGGCCAAGCCTCTGGGCGTTCAGGCAGGTTCTCCATCCTGGCTGAAGGCTGTGATTCCATGTGCTCTCACAGGCTTCATCCCGTACCTGAGCTGCGAGGGCACCTCCAGCGAGGACAACATGACCCAGTGTCTGCAAACCTTCCAGGAGAAAACGCGACGCTACAAAGACCAGTTGGAGGAACTCCGCTGCTCCGTGGCCAGGACCCCCAGACTGAAGCCCGTCTGCTCTGAGGAGACGGTCCTGCGGGTGCTGTACCAGTACAACCGGCAGCATCACCCCTTGAGTCTGGGTACCAGCTCCCTGAAAGCAGCCCCTTTCACCCCAGGGCCCCAGTGCGGGGCCTGGCAGGCCCATGGAGCTGCTGCAGAGCTCAGAGGCCAGCACGGTTCTCAAATCCCCAGCGGGGCTGGGGAGGGGCAGTAAAAATGGAAAGGTGGGGTGGGGGGAGGGACACAGGTCTGGGGACAGGGTGGGTGCTGGGAACAGAGAGCCCGCGGGTAAGTCACCACAAATGTTCAGACAGCTGCTGTCCCTGCTTTCTCTGTGCAGGGCACGGTTATTTCGTCAGCTGCTTACGACAATCCTGTGAGGTTGACGCTGTTGTTCCCATTGTAGAGAAGGGGGCATGAGGCTTTGGGAGGGAATGTCCGTTGTCTGAGGTCAGACCTCGGCTGGAACCCAGCGCTTCCAGGTTCTAGCTGGGCGGGATGGGGTTTTGCACTGACAGCTACAAAAACAACTGCTAATATAATCATATAATGTTAATAATCACCACAGTGATTTGCTCTGGACTATTTTCAGGTCTAAAGGCTTATAGGAACAGTAATTGACTGATTGCTTTTATTGTTATTGCTGGAATTGTTTGGGAACTTTCAAGAACACAGTTCTTGTGCTTTAAAATTTCCAAGACATTGCAAAGACGATTTGCCTAAGAGGTTGGGATTTATAGCCCAGCTCTGTGACTACTTGCTGTGTGGCCTAGGGCAGGTTGCTTCCCCTCTCTGGGCTCCAATTCCTTCACCCAGGGCAGGGAAGGATGGACTAGATGCTCCTTAGGCTGCCTTCAAGCTCTGAGGTTATGGGGCTCAGTGGCCTAATTTTTACAGCAACTGGAGGAAGCAAATGGGGCAGTAATCTTTCATCTCATAAATGGGAAATTGCCCAAGGTCAGCTGGCCAGCCAGAGTTGCTCATGACTTGCAAGCAGCTTCCCACTATTTATCATGATCTGGATGCTTCCCTCTGTCTCTCACTCATTTTTTAAAAATTTTATTTATTTTTGGAGAAAGGGGAAGGGAGGGATAAAGAGAGAGAGAAACATTGATGTGAGAGAGAAACATCGAGCAGTTGACTTCCACACGCTCCCTTTTCAGACACCAAACCTGCAATCCAGGTATGTGTCCTGACTGGGAATCAAACCGGCGACCCTTTGCTTTGTTGGACGACGCCTAACCCACTGAGCCACACTGACCAGGGCAGATGCTTCTCTTGATTCCCTTAAGTGAACTGTCAAAGAGCAATATTTGAAGCTTTCCATCGGAGAAAGCAGCAGGACCTGTTTCAGAGCTAGGACTTGGGTATCAAATGGACACGGGTTTGAATCTTGGCCCAACCACTTCCTTGCTGTGTGACCTTGGCCAAGTCTCTCCTCACCTCTTTAAAGTCTCAGCCTCCTCCTCTATAAAATGGGGGTAATGATAGCACCAACTTCCTACAGTTTGTACGAGAATGAAACGAGAGGCTATGTGTCCAGCCCCAGCAGCGGCGCCCGGCACAGAGAAGCAGCCAGCCAGCCGTAGTTGTGGCTAGGACGTCCGCAGGCCCGGCCCAGGGCTTCACCCGGGTGACCCGTTGGGGTGCCGGCCAACCTGGAGCACTGCCCATGGTGTGGCTTCTCAAAGCCCTCAGGAAGTGTGGTGTCTCTTTACAGAGTGCAAAAACTTAAAGAAACCTCTCCAGGAGCCCCCCATCCCTGGCTGGGCGGGCTACCTGCCGCGAGCCAGGGTCACTGAGTTAGGCTGCGCCACGCGGTACGCCGTCATGGCCCGAAACTGCTACAGGGACTTCCTGGACATCGTGGAGCAAGCCAAGAGAGCGCCCCTGAAACCATACGAGGAGTGAGTCTGGCTTGGGGCGTAGCCACAGGCAGAAAGCGGAAGAGCAGGTCTGGGCCAGGGGCCCCCAGCTGCCCCCATCCCAGCACCAGGACCACGTGTGTGTCTGATTTGTTTTCCCTGGGGCCTCGTTTGTCATCGCAGGCCCGCCTAGCAGCCAGGCAGTCTGCATGCCCCACCATGCCCAGCATTCTCCCGGGTCCGCCTGTGGTCTTTGGTAGGTGACAGGCAGAGGGTGGCAGTAAACACCAACAGGGCCACCATCCCTGCGCGCAGCCTAAGGCCCCAGGGTGCTGCACAGGGTGGCTCGTGTGGCTCCCGCTCTCCCTTCTGTAAAATGGAGATGAGAATCCTTATTTATAGGATAAGTGGTAGGGATTAGAACTAAACATGCTGTACTCACATGGGACCTGCATAGATTACATCTGTTCTTTTTTAAAAGTATTAATAAAAGGTGTAACTCTTTGACTTCTGTTCTTACATTAGAATATATGGAGTTAGGTCCACACAACCTCCTGCTCCTTCTCCTAAAGTGTTGCAGTGTGAAGGGTTGCTGCCGAAGTATCCGGACTTTTCTCTTCCCGGTAAGGCAGGCCCTCCTCTCCTCCCTTCCCACTATTTTTATAACGGAGAGAAAATGTTTGCACTGGCCTCTCTGCATTGGGGGACCACCAGCCAGCCGCTCATGGAGATGCTTTCTCTTCCAGTTGGAAGCTGTCCCACCCTTAGAAAACCCCTGAGAGAGGACCCCAGACCTCCGACGACGTGTGGCTGTGCTCAGAGACAAACTACGTCCTGCAACGGGAAGGTTTATCTGGAGCCCCTGTCCTTGGCCAAGGATGCAGAAGGCTAACGGGGAGAGGTGACCTCTAGAGGGCGCTCCAAAGCTCGTCATTCTCATAACTGCATCAGCCCTTCACCCACACCCTCAAAGAGGCACTAGGGACATTTCCTAATGTAACAGTCCTTTTCCCTGGCACCAGCACCCCGGCTGGTTGGCAATAGCATGCCCTGAACAAGAAAGACCTTTTATTGTCCTGTGAGAATAAAGAGGATACTTCTCAGCAAGCTGAGGGCTTCTGTGTGTTTTTCTCCAGATTGGGTTGACCTGGAGTAGAGCCAGGGTGGAGCCCATCTCTCCCTAACCCTGAGGGAACATCGTGCACCTGGACCAGCCTGCGAGTGAAGCCTCGGCCAGCCCTCTACGCTGGCGGCCCCCGTCAGCCATCTTGGGTCCTGACACGGTAGCCCCAACACTGTCACAGACACCACATGCACCCCAACCCGGGTTTTCCAAATCCCAGTCCTCAGGAGAGACCGGCTGGCAGACATCAGCCGTCTCAGTTTTCGAGGGTTGCTGTGACGGAGTGTCACAAACTGGGTGGCATAAGGCCACAGACCTTTCTGGAAGCCTCCAGACTCAAGGAGTTAGCAGGGCCGTGCTCCCTCTGAAACTTCAGAGGGAGTCTTCCCAGCCCTGGGTGGTTTGCTGGCCATCCTTGGTGTCCCTCGGTGTCCCTCGGTGCACAGCCCCAGTCTGTCTTTGTCACCACATGCCATCCCCCTGTGTCTTCACATAGCTGTCTTCTTACAAGGACCCTGGCCACACTGGGTTCCGGTCCGCCCTCCTCCAGTATGACCTCATCTAAACTTAGCTAATTACTTCTGCAACGACCCTGTTTCCAAACAAGTTGCATTCTGAAGTACCAGGGATTGGGACTTCATCATATTTCTTTAGGGGAACACAATTCAACCCACACCACTGGCTAACTTCCTCTTGCCCCTGACAGGTGCTCTCTCTGACCTCACTCTGCAGCCGTTGACACTCAGCAGAGGTCAAAGCAGCTGCTGGGCAGCGAGGCATCGGCTTTGAAAGACTCGGAAACAAGCAGAGCTGAGAGGTGTAGCAAGCTACGCCTGGGGGCCTGGCCACGGCAGGAATTCTCACCTGGGCTTCCTGGGCCCCCAGGTTCCATGGGGAGACATCAGGAGCCATCTCTTTGCTGAGAAAAAAAGAACTTGAGGAGAAAAAAAATGTTACATCTTTGTTTCCATTAACATCAATGAAATTTAGTATTGCCTTTTTTTTATGAATGTAGGAAACACTATAGCCCTACCTGCCACCTTAGCCCAGAGGTTTTCAGCCGGTGAGCCACCAGAATTTTTAAAACATACAAAACCTGACAATAGTCAGGGGCACTGACCTCTTTTCCCTTAAAGATTGTCAAGTTAAAAAAAAAAAAAAAAAAAGCAACAGCCAACACAACAATAGCCATCCGGTGTATATGAATCAAAATTATACCTATTTTTTTTTGTCAGATTGGCAGAAAAATATGATATATTTTTTGGTGTGCCACAGAGTGTTAGTAATTAGTTTGTGTGTGCCATGAGACAAAAAAGGTTGAAAATTTCTGTCTTAGCCCAATAGAAATCACAAGTCTTTTCACATCTTACATTTGTCACAAACAGCTGGAAATGTTACTGTTGATCACTACTTTGTAATTATTGCAGTTATTAGAGCCACACTCTCTAATATATTGTTATTCAACATATATATGAAGGAACGCACTATTTCACAAATTTATTCCTAATATTATTTTGATACTATTTCAATATAATTAGTTTCCTCTGTGATCTCCTGTATTTTATTTTATGTTTTTAAAAAGATTTTATTTATTTTTAGAGAGTGGAAGGGAGGGAGACAGAGAGGGAGAGAAACATTGGTGTGTGAGAGAATCATCAATCGGTTGCCTCTTGCCTGCCTCCCAATGCGTGCGCCCAGCTGGGGACCCAGCCTACAACCCAGGCATGTGGCCTGGCCAGGAATTGAACCAGCAACTTTTCCATAATCAGGGTGATGCCCAATCCACCGAACCAGTCAGGGCTTTACTCTACATTTAAAACATTATTCTGAGAAGAGGTCCACAGGTTTCACCAGACAGCCAGAGGGTCCCTGGCACCATAATGGTCCAGGGAAGCAACAAAGGATGTATGTAAAGAGTAAGTGTCATACAAAACAGAACAACCCAAACCCCATGGTACCTGGGATTACAGTGATTCAGATAATTAAAAACTAATGGGATAGAAGAACACTGTTGTGGAGAAATATTTGATACAATACATGCAAAAAAACAGGTGTAATAACAGCAAACCCTGTGTGTGTACGCACACATACTAAACCTGTTCTTTGTTTGAAAGAAAGAGGGACGTGGGTAGACATAATGCTAACAGTGGTTATTCAGATGATGGTGCTATTGGTCATTTTTATTTTCTTGTTTGTATTTTTTCCAATTTTTCACAGCCAACAGCTATTGTTAACATAATCAGGAAGAGACGCTATTTTAAGAATGCTTATTTGAATTGATTAGAAGACCTGTTGGTCAAAATGGCAGTGTAGACAGACATGGCTCACCTCTTCACACAACCACAACAAAATTACAGCTAAGATATAGAATAACCATTACTCAGAACAAACAGAAATTGAGTTGAATGGAAGTCTGACAACTACAGAATTAAAGGAACCGCATCCATCCAGAGTGGTAGAAGGGGCACAGATGTGGAATAGGCTGGACCCAAATCCACGTGTGGTGGATAAAAATTCAGGATGGATATCTCAGGAACGAGGAGTCCCAGCCCCACACCAGGCCCCGAGCTCAGGGTTCCAGTGCCAGGAGGTCCCTACAACTTCTGGCTGCAAAAACCAGTGGGGATTGAGTCAGAGGAAGAAAATTCTGGAGCCCCAAGCAGTTCCTCTTAAAGAACTCAGACTCACCTACTCAGAATCACTCCTCTGGGCTTGAGCACTGGAGTGTTGGCTTGGGGGGCACAAGTGGTATGCAGAGGGAGGCTGAGGTATCTGGCCTCAAGGCTGGTAGAGGTCATTATTCCTTTTCTGGGCCCTCCCCCACAGAGCCGGCAGATTGGCTGGTGCTGTATCTAAGATTCCATCAACCTGGCTAACACTGCTTGACCCGCCTAAGAGATCCTCAGAGACTCCGCCCCACCCAGGCTGCTTTTCCATATGAATGGCTGGTCTTGGCTCACACTTCACAACTTCCTGAATCCTATCAAACAGGCAACAGCTGGCTTCAGTGAGCCCCAGGCCTAGAACTAGCATCCTGCCTAGAAATCTCTAAACCCAGCACAAGTAGCAGCCATCTCAGAATGCTTTAGAACTTAGGCAGGGTGGCCCCAGGCAAAACACAGTTGGGGGTTCATTTTGGCCTGCACCACCTGGGACACCCCAGAGCCTATGTACCCAGTAGACAGCTATAGATCACGTTAGAACACCACCCCCTTGCCCCTGCACAGCTGATCCTCCGTGGAGGGCAGAGGTTGGTAGTCAGTGGTCACAGGCAGTCCTTGCAGCTGACTGGCCTGGGTAAATCCCTCCCATTGATCTGCCAACAGCAACCAAGGCTCAACTATAAGAGGAGGGTGTGCTCAGCCCACAGGGTATACCTCAAATACCCAGCTTTGGTGATATGGGAGGCTGTGCCACTGGATCCTGCAAGACACCTACTACATTGGGCCACGATACCAAGACACCGGGTCGAAGCAGCTCTACCTAATACATAGAAACAAACACACGGAGGCTGCCAAAATGAGGAGAGAAAGAAACATGGCCCAAGTGAAAGAACAGATTGAAACTCCAGAAAAAGAGCTAAATGAAATAGAGATAAGCAATCTTTCGGAAGCATAGTTCAAAACACTGGTTATAAGGATGCTCAAGGAACTTAGTGAGGACCTTAACAGCATAAAGAAAGATCCAGTCAGAAATGAAGGATACACTAATTGAAATAAAGAACAATTTATAGGGAAACAGCAGTAGAGTGGATAAAGCTGAGGACAACATTGATAATTTGGAACATAAGGAAGCAAAAACAACCAATTAGAACAAGAAGAAAAGAGAATCGAAAAAAACAAGGATAGTGTAAGCAGCCTGTGGGCTGACTTTAAGCAATCCAACAGTTGCTTCATAGGGGTGCCAGAGGAGAAGAGAAAGGGCAAGAAATTGGAAATCTATTTGAAAAAATAATGAAAGAAAACTTCCCTAATTTGGTGAAGGAAATAGACAGGCAAGTCCAGGAAGCACAGTGTTCCAAACGAGATGGATGAAAAGAGGCCCACCCCAAGACACACCGTAATTAAAAAGCCAAGGGTTAAAGATAGAGATGGGAGGGGAATGTGGGAGAATGGGTGAGAGGTGAGGGGATTAAGAAGTACAATAGGTAGTTACAGAATAGCCACGAGGATGTAAAGTACAGTGTAGGAAATGGAGCAGCCAAAGAATTTACATGCATAGCCTGGGGACATGAACAAGGGTGGGGAGATCACCTGAAGGGGGATGTTGCTGGATGAGGGAGGCAAAGGGGGGAAAATCAGGACAACTTTAATAGCATAATCAATAAAATATAATTTTTTAAAAAAGGCCCTGGTTTGTGTGGCTCAGTGAATTGCACACCAGCCTGTTAACCAAAGGGTCACTGGTTCGTTTTCCAGCCAGGTCCCCAGTAGAGGGCACACAAGAAACAACCACACAATGGTGTTTCCCTCTCTTTCTCCCTCTCTTCCCCTGTCTAAAAATAAATAAATAAAATCCAAAAAAAAAAAAAAAAAAAAGGGAAAACTGCAGACTCTTACTCTGTAATTCACAAAATTCCCAGGTGATGGGTACACTTCCATTGATGATTGAAAAGGACTGTAGACTAGTTTACTTTACACAGAGAAATTACTAAATCATTCAACTCAAAAACAAAAAAAGAAAGAAGACATGTTAATCCTTCAGAGATTGTACGTTAGAAGAAGTCTCATCTCAGTACAAGGGAACTGGCTGGAATTCCCTGCAAAGGG